TATTGTCATCAGGAGACTTAGGGTGAGTTGAAAGCAGAGGGTGTGTGTGTGTGTGTGTGTGTGTGTGTGACAGTGTGAGCAGAGATGGTGTGAGCGTGGGTGCAGGTGTGGGTGACTGAGTGAGTGTGTGGGCGAGGCTGAACAGGTGTGTCTGCGGGAGTACCTGGTGCATGTGAGCAGGAGGGCAGGGCAGGCGTCCAGGGAGGGACTCCTACGCAATAACCACGCCCCTCCTGGGCCCCAGCTGCCAGTGAGGCCCATGCGGCTTTCCAGGGGAGCCCAGGCCGCGGCTGGCCCCGTCCCTATTACCTCAGCCACCGTGGCCGGTGACAGTATCAACAAGGTAGCACTGAGCATATCAATAAATATTATTCTGATAACCGCCTGTGCTGCTGCCAAGTCCGCCTCCCTGCCTCTGGCGCCACCTGCCCACCCCCAGCACAGCCTGTCAGCAGCATCGTGGGGGCCCCTGAAGGGCCCAGAGTGTCAGGAGGGGAACATGGCCACTGCACTGAGGAGCATGTGGAGGGCACTCCTACAGGGTCGCCACCGGACTCAGCCCCTGGGCACAGGCACGAATCGGGGCTCCTACACTGAGGGGACCCCAGGGAAGACGACCCTAGGTCAGATGCTTGGAAGCGGGGCCAGGGGTACTGCCCGAGGAGCGGGGCTGCAGAACCCAGGACAGCTTCTAGGAGGAGGGGCCCTTGCTGTGGGCAAGGGTGCTCACCATGTCAGGGGTCCCTGCAGGGCATCTGCCACCTCAAGCCCAGGGTTCGGTGGAACAAGGCTGGCCCCGTGGAGCCACATTCCCTGCAGGTTGGACCTGTGGGCTCCTTGGAGGCAGGTGGCCGGGGCAGAGGGGGCCAGAATCCATGGGCAGTGGGAGGTATCAGCCCCAGACTGCTGAGGTCAGAGGGCACCCGCCTGCTCCCTGGCCAAGGCCTTCTGGAGGCTCTCTAACAGGGACCTTTCTGAACAGTCCTGGACACCCAGTGTCCCCATGAGTCAGGATAGTCCACCCTCCAACTTCAGTGGCCAAGTCTGCAGCCACCACATCCCAAGCCCAGGCATGAGGGGCATGAGGACCAGGCTGGAGTCCACATTCATTTAAAACACAGGTTTTATTCTCAGAATGCTTAAAATTTTTATTACTGTTCAGGTGTGGTGAGGTCAGCAGAGCAGGAGACGCCGGCCATTGAAAGACAGTCTGTTGTTAACAGACCCCAGAGGAGGGGGCTCCCCACACCAGGCAGGGCCTCTCAGGGAAGCACCAGGGTCAGTGCAGGCAGAGGGAGCAACGGGCAGCACCCCACTGTGGCCTCCACAGGAAGGAGCAGGCAGGGCAGGTAGGGGGCTTAGGATCAGCCAGTCTGAATACCTTCAGCAGGTGCTGGACACAGAGCTGTCCCTGGCTGCCCTGGGGTGACTGGGCAGGTGGGTGGTGGCCCCACATGGGCCAGCAGATAGAGGGGCGCAGGTTGGGTGCTTTGAACATGACGTCGTTGGCCAATCCCAGAGTTAGCCAGCCCTAGGAGGGGCAGCCTGTCCAGGGCAGCCCAGCCCAGGTGTGCAGAAAACAAAAGGTGTGGCTGATGCACCCTGTCCCCCGATAGCCTACCTCCCCTGACCCGGACACCTCCCTTGGCCTGCCTCCAGGTGGCACTCAGCGTCTCACAGTTCAGGGAAGTCACCCTGTGGCCTGGGCCGCTGCCTCCAGGCTGCTGCTCCTGGAGACCAGGTCCTGGCCCCTCGGCCCAGGCCCTCACTTCCCAGCACTTCTGCACAATGGCAAGCCGCACCTGGCAGCCAGGTGACCCCAGAAAGCTCACTGATGCTGGCCTCATTCCTGTCCCCTCACCCTCGCATGCAGAGATGTCCCCGAGTTACCTGGGAGCCCACTGATTTGGGCAGTGCCCACGAGTCCAGCTCCTGCACTTGCCTTGCATCCTGGCTAGTGAAGGGAAATGTCACGGGCCACAGAGTGTCCAGGCAGGGGCTGTGCACACCAGCCCCTGGGCTCAAGCAGAACAGAGGTGGACACAGGAGAGCCCACAGGTGCTCTGGGCCACAGCCTTGCAGGGCATTTCAGAGCCAGTCCTGTCTGGGAAGAGTTCTGTGTTGTAAACCCATGGCCCTTTGTGCGAGGCTGACCTTCTGCAAGGGGAGGTGGCACCGGTCAGCACCCTGTAGAAGTAGCCACGGCACTGTGCGTGCTGGGGATGCTGCTGCCTGCCCCCCAGACCTGTCCTCTGGCTGTGTCCCAGTGGGCCACCCCATCTTCCCAAAATCAGATGGCCAGAGTCCTGAAGGAAAGGGTCCTGTTGGCCCCTTGGGGTCAGGAAAGACTGAGCCGAGCCTTTCCTCCAGCACTTCCTCCTCTTGCCTGTGACCAGGTTCCTACTTCCATCTGGTTGGGATGATTGATCCTGCTCCACTTCAGACCAAACTCCTCTGCGTATGCATCTGGTTGGGGACCCAAGAGGGCCTTCCCTCCCCAGACTAGCAAATAGTTTCAAGCCAAGCTCATTTCTCTTCTTAAGGGCCCAAGGGCCCCTCTGGTTTGGTACAAGCCCTGGTCACTGCTCCTAGGGCCATGTGGACCCCTCTCCCTCAGTCTCCTCCGAAGACCCTTCACAGCTCACCTCAAGAAGCCCCCCCCTCTGGATGCTTGGATGAACAGAGGGAGCTTCCGCGGACAGCCACCCAGGCTGAGGGCCCACAGTGTCAGGATAGACCCGCCCCCAGCAGCATGCTCGGAATGGCTGTGACAACACCAAAGCTGGCTGTTCTCCAAGCACAGCCCGGGACGCGGGGAGGCCCAGGCCCTGCCAGCATGGACTCCGGCTCTACTCTCCTGCTTCTGGCCTCTCAGCCATGCACAGTGTGGACTGAGCACAGGCCTCTGCGGGTGATCAGAGGGCGGTGCTAATTCCCACCACCCACCAGGGGCTAGGGTTTCAGGCACCTTCCTCTCCCCACAGGCCACCCTGTGGCTGCCACGGGGTCAGCATTGCCTTCCCCTCTTTGGTCCCCTTCCCTCCAGTCCTGAGCAGAGACAGCAGGGCAAAGGGTGCACATTTCCTCCTACTGAAGAGGACGTGTTCTGGGAGAACCCCGAACCCATCCAGACAGCCAGGCCTGAGTCCCAGGCCTCTTCCCACCACGCAAGCCTAGAGCTGGGAATTTCAACACTCCAGACCCTGGTGCCTCAGGGTGACCTCGGTGGGCCTGCCAAATGAGTGGGGTGCAGCTGGTGGTCTCTGCTGGTGCTCCAAACCCACCCCTTGGTACTTGCGGCTCTCTTTTGAACTTGGCCTTGGTGGGCAGAGAGGCAGAAATGAGGATAAAGTCCAGGTGCAAGAACGCAAAGTGGGTGGAGAGGAGAACACCAGCGCCATGGCTGAGCTGGTGTCCTTCCACCAAGGGGGACCAGGTCAGGCCCTCTGGGACCCAGAAAGCTGTATGAGGGAGGAGGGTGGCCTCCTGTATGGGCAGTCTGCTGCAGGGGACCTGCCTAGTGCAGCATGGACAGCATTATCTCCCACAGTGATATAGCGCTGTGGCCACCCCCATACTCAAGACATGGGAATCTGCGACATCTACACATCACCAGGGTCAGCTCTTTAGAAGCTTTGGGCTGGGGCCTGGGAACTGGACAGGGCAACACTCCCACCTGGGGCCTGGTGGGTCATCAAACCAGGACCTGCTCTGGGCAGTCAATGACAAGCCTGCCCTGGGGCACTCAAGTGGAGAGAGGGACGCCTTCTCCCGGACCCCCTGGCCTCTTCCGCCCACTCACCAGCGCCTGGGCGGGAAGACAGGCACCCACCGACCAGCTGCCAGAGTCTGGGACCTGACCCCCACCACGGTCCCGATGCGGGGTGGTTGGCTTGGTCGGGGCCCCTGCTTCCGCTGTCCTGCCGGCCCATCCCTGCCTGCGCGCTGGGTCCCAAGAGGCCGGGTGGAGGCCTCGTGGGCGCGAGACCTCACCCCCGCGATCAAGTCTCTTTCCTGTCCCATTAACGGCTCACAGAACGCTTCGGTTCCAAAGTCACTGAGCCCAAGCCGTCAGGTGGACGCCCAGTGGACAGTGCCCCATTGCACAGACCTGGCAAAGGCGCCGGCTCTTCAGAGCCTGGCGAGGCCGCGCGATAAGAGAACGGGGACACCTAGCGGTGCGCGCTAGGCCCCGGGGACGTGGGACGTGAGGTTGTGGCGTGCGCTAGAGGGCGAAATGCCAGGCGGCAGGGCGCACTAGGACGCGGGGAGGACCGGGGCATGCGCTCGGGAGACGGGAGCGCTAGGACCCGGGGTCGCGGGGAGGATCGCGGCGTGCGCTGGGGAGACGGGCGCGCTAGGACCCGGGGGCGCGGCGTGCGCCCGGGAGGCGGGAGCGCGGGCGGGCGGCGCGCGGGCCCCTGGGAGCTTCCCGGCGTGCCGCGCGCCCGGGCCCGTCCGGCGGCGCGCATGAGGCGGCTGCGGAGCGCCGCCGACTGCTTGGTACGCGGCGGCCGGCCGGGCGGGCGGGGCGGCGGGCGCAGTCTGCGGCCCCCGCGCGCGTCGGGCCCCCGGGCGGAGTGCGGCGCCTCGCGGGCGCGGGCTGCCCCGGCCGAGCCCGGCTCCCGGGCCTGCCTGCGAGGGGCCGCCGAGGGGCCGGGCGGCCGCGGGCCGGAGGCGCCTCCCGGGCCGCCCGCGCGGGGAGCCCGGCGGGCCTGGGTGTCCGAGGGCGCGGGGCCCCGGCAGGACGGTGGGGCGGGACCTCAGCCGGCGGCGTTTGTTGCCGTCCGAGGCTGGAGGCTGGAGGCTGGAGCCCGAGCCCCGGCGCTGGGCGGCCCGGCGCCGGGGCTCGGGTCTGACGGCGCCGGGGCTCCAGCCCCACGTGGGGTCCCGCCCTCCGGGGCTCCCCGAAGGCCCTGCCCCTAACAGGCGTCCGTCTCCGCGGTAGGACTTGAGCGTGTGGGTTTCGGGAGGACGCGGTTCCGTTCCTAGTAATGGGACCGGGAGGGACAGCTGCCAGGCCGTGCGGTGGGCAGTGCGGTAGGTGTGGCCACGCACTGCAGCCGGCAGCCGCGTGGGCAGTTGCGTCCCACCCTGGATCCTGTTACTCCGACCTGGGGCGCAGGGTTGCAGCGCCGCAGGGTTGCAGAGCCGCCTTACCTGCCCTTGAAGCCGATGGCCCTCTCTGGGCGACACAGGCTGTCGAGCTCTCGATCAGAGGCTGCTTTTCTGGGAGTCTCGCAGGAGGCTTCTCCCACCCCGTGTCCATCTCCCACCCCAGTCCTGCTCTGTAGGGAGAGCTGGCTGGGGACATCTGACCGACGAAGTCCCACCCAGCACAGTAGCCTGGCGGTGTGGCCAGGAACAGGGCCGGAAACTGCCTGCAAGCTGCCGCGGAATTGGGGAGAAGAGGAGGCATTTATCTCCCCTGAGGGTAGCAGCAAGTGGTCTGCTGGGCTCCAGGGAGGACTGGAACCTGTCTCAAAAGGACAGCAAGCACAGGAAAGTGGAAGCCAGGCTCTGCTCCCCACTAGAGATATGGTGGCTGATAGGGGAGCACAGCAACCTGCTGAAATCACACCTGAGAGTATGGAAACCAGAGTTTGGGGAAGTGTGTGTGTGTTCACATCAGAGAGAGAAGCTCAGACTCACAGACCTTGCGCCTGTAGCCTTCCTGCTTAACTGTCCCACGCTGGGCAGTACTGCCCTTGGTGGGTGGCTGCAGGGGCTAGGGCTGGGAGCCTCAGTGGTCCTGGTGCTGCATTTCTGTAGCTTGGTCATCATGGGGCTTAAGGCTTGGCTCCTGGCCAGACAGGCTCCTGTGACCCACAGCCCCTATGAGAACAAGGCAAGACCCATTCCTGCTGCAGTCCTGGGCCTCTCCAGAGCAGCCCTGGAGTCATTCCTCCAACCCTAGAGGCCGAACTGTCCTCCTCAGTCTCAGGCGTGCCCTGGGCAGGCTGACCACAGACTTGTCTGCCACACCCGTGGGAGGGCAGGGCAGGCTGAGGCAACGTGGTCCCCTCCCATTCGCTGGTGGTGCCACGTCCTCCCGCCCAGCTGCAAAGGGTGTTTTTTTTTTTGTTTTTTTTTTTTAAAGAAGTTTTTTTCCTTCATGCTTTGGCAACCTTGTTCTGCTGATAGATAAGAACTGTTTACTTCCGCGTATTAAGATGGATTAAGGATGATCATCTCCCATTTCCCCATTGAGCTGCTCCTCTGGAGCTGAGGGGTCTTCTCCCCCCAGCTCTAACTGTTCCAGCTAGCCACACTGCCCTGGAAGGCAGGCTCCCCCAATCCTCCTGCCACTTCTGCCTTCTGCGTTTTGGTCAGTGCTTTGAATAGATGGAGCACTTTAAAGAAGGGAAGGAGGAGGTCCCTAGGGGTGAGGCTCAGATGAGCCAAGGCCTGTACAGTCTGGCAGAATCCTTAGATGTGCACAGACCCAGAGCCAACAATGGTCCTTCCCAGACGAGCTGACCCTGATAACACCCACAGGCTAAGGCAGCTTCCAGGCTTGAAAGCCCAGGTGCAGGGGAGTGGCACACAGCTATGCAGTGGTGTGGACTCCCCTCTCATACAGTGACTAGTGGTTTCAAGGGACCCGAGGACTAGGTTTCAGAGGCCAGCCTGGGGTCTGTCTCCCTTAGTCTCAACTGAACTTCCTCCACCCTGGCCCGAGTAGCTTCCTGCCCTGCCCTCTGCTGCCCCTTTCTCCATGGCAGTTCCTCTTCCAGGAGGCCCAGCCATGCTTAGAATGGCCTTCTTCCTCTTGTTCAGCTCCAGGGCAGGTCTGTGTTCCTGGACACCACATCAGGTATTCAGTTACATCTAGAGAGAACCCTGTCCACCCAGGTGCTTCACCGAGTCCTGCCTGTTGCAGATGAGGAGTTGAGCTCAGAGGTGCTGTGCTGGCTCAGCAGTTCAGCCAGGTGCCACGGAGCTCTCTGTTGGTGCTTACCACAGTGGGGTAGCCCTAGTGTGCCAAGGGGAAGAGCTTGGGAGAGCACTGTGTCCATTCGCTGCTCATTTCTTCTTTGTCATGAGACCTCTGAGAAGCTTATGACAGCGCAGAGGATCCCAGCATCTGCGGGCTGGAGCCTTGTCCACCAGCACCTGCCCCCGCGTGGCCTCTGAGGCACATTCCCCTCGGCACACACTTCTGACACATAGGCATGTCTGGAGACAGAACTGTGGAACCATGCTTCCTGCTGCAGCTGACAGCACAGTGGAATGTTCTGGTTCCTGAGCATTACAACACCTAGTGGCCAGATTTCTCCAGTGGAAAGAGCTTATTTAAACAGTTTTCGCAAGCTGGGGCCCAAACTCAGCTCTGCACTGCCCTCGCCAACTTGCCTGAGTCTTTTCCCTGGCAGTGTGCCGCGGTGTGAGCCTTGCGGCCTCTGCCTGTGACTGTGTCCCAGGTGTCCCTGCCACGTCAGTTCTCAGCTCCTGCAGCACTATGAGCGGAAGACACTTGGAGATTTTAATAGCTCTGCCAGGTGGTGCATGAAGTCCACTGAGCAGGTCCAGGAAGAGCCACACGAAGGGACAGGGCATGTGGCCAGCACTCAGCATGACACTGGTCTCCACCATGGCCTCAGTCACCTCAGGCATGGGTCTGACTGGTGTTCTGCTTGTCCCTCTGTGCTGTCTGACATTCCAGCCCCTCATTCCCAGAGCTCCTGGTACCTTTCTGAGGGACACAGTGTGAAACCGTGATGTGGCACCAATCTAGGCCTTGTCAGCATTCTTTTTTGTGGGAGTGGCAGGGTACTTGGGATTGAACTCATGGGTGCTCTGCCTCCTCAGTCTTTTTTTTTTTTTTGAGACAGGGCTTCCCTAAGTTGCCCATTGCAGTCCTTATACCTCAGCCTCCCAAGTTGCTGGTATTACAGGTGTGTGCCACCACACGAGGTCCCTTGTCAGCATTTCTAAGGCAGGTTCTTCTGCATTGTGTTTGTCTTAAACTGAAGAAATGGTAATCTAAGGATGATAACTGTCTGACGGACAGCCGTACTATTGTCACCACCCGCACTGCCATTACTAAAAGAGATGGAGGGTTTCTTTGCAGTGATTACCACATTGCTGTGTCCTGAAATGGACTTCAGGAGTTTGGTACTACCTGACCTGATCCACTCCCGCTTGCTCTCAGTGCTGGGGGTGGCGGGGTCTCCTGTGTGCCTGCCCTGCTTGCTATTTTTGTTTTGTTCATCAAGGCTGCCGGCCTCTCCCCAGCCAGGCCCCACCCAAAAAGACCCTAGACTTCAGTAGCCAGTGTCAAGGTGGGAAGCCTCAGGTCCTACTCCAGCGCCATTGTGCCAAGAGCCCTGAGCCCTGTCCTGGGGCCTCTGTGAGGACCATGTCCTATCTCCTCAGGCGTCCATCGGTCAGGAAGCCAAGTCCCAGACATGGAGGTGGAGGAGCAGCCACCTCAGGAGGTGAGGGGGGTTGCTGGGCGCTTCTTGAACAACCCTGGGGTCTGCAGCATTTGTGCTGCTGCTGCTCAGCTCGGTGCCCACCCCAGTGTGGCCTCTGTCACTCCAGCTGTTTCTCTGCAAAGAACCTGGCACAGTCACTGGGTTTTCTAGAGTCCAGCAGGAAAACCCCCAAGGGGAAGGTCCCTGTAACAGGCTGGCCTGGGGGTGGCCTTCAGTGGCAGAGGTCAGCCTGATCTGGGAGGCCAGAGGTCAGCCTGATCTGGGAGGCCAGAGTTCAGGGAACATGATCACCCAGCTTGGAACTCTCCCTCCACCCACAGGCTGATGGGGAGCCCGTCCTGACATCAGGGGCCTCGGGGTCAGTGCCCAGGGTGCTTTCCGGAGAACCCCAGAACCTGTGTACGTCTTCCCTTGCATCCTGGCACATTTCCTGGGGTGGGCCCCTAGGCTGGGGGAGGCAGCTGGCCTGGCTACTGCTGAGAGCCTGGCAGAGCTGCAGGCATCCCTGGCCCACCAGGGAGTGGAAGGAGCTCTTGAGTGCATCAGGAGCCCCTTCTTGCTGTGCCCCAGTTCTGCCTGCTCGGAGCCCCTGTCCTTTACCCAATCCAGCCCTAGTTGGAGTTGAGCAGTGGCTGGGACACTTGGTCCCCTTGCTGTCACCTGCCCTGGGTGATCCCTTGCAGCAGCCTGGGTGGGATGAGGGACAGATGTAGCCTAGATGCCCACACAGTCACAGGAGCAGCCATGGGTAGATGTGCCCAGGAGGCTTGCCCCCCCCACACACACACACACACACACTTGCCTGCAGTGCTGGCTTCATCCCACTGTGGCCTTTGCTGTTGGTGCAGCTGACGTGGATGCCTTCAACCTGCTCCTGGAGATGAAGCTGAAACGGCGGCGAGAGCAGCCCAACCTTCCTCGCACTGTGACCCAGCTGGTGGCTGAGGACGGGAGCCGGGTGTATGTGGTGGGCACTGCCCACTTCAGTGATGACAGCAAGCGGGATGTTGTGAAGGTCAGTACCACCTCTGTTCGCCATTTGCCCTGGCCTGTTCTCCAGGGCCACCCCCACCGGCCTGGATGCAGGTCTGGGTGGGCTGAGCCCCAGGACTGCAGTAGAAGTTTCTGTTTCGACGTGGTCAGTCACTAGAAGGTGGACTCTCACTGTGGCCCTGTGCTTTCTTCCCTTAGAAGCCCACCTGCTTCATGACTTTATTTTTATTTGTTTTTTAATTTTTTTTGGTTGTAAATAGACAGAATGCCTTTATTTTACTTGTTTATCTTTATGTGGTGCTGAGGATCTAACCCAGTGCTTCACGCATGCTAGAGAAGCAGTCTGCCACTGAGCTACAGCCCCATGACTTTATTTGTTGCTTAAAGAAGTAAACTGTCCCCCGCAGCACAGTTGTTGGCACCAGGCTAGTGCCTTCCTGGCCACCTCCGGGAGGGAGGGGGCTTGGTCTGGGTGTGGGCCCTGCCCTATGGTGGCCAGCATGTATCTAGGAGAGAGGTGACCCACCTTGCAGACCATCCGGGAGGTGCAGCCTGATGTGGTGGTGGTGGAGCTCTGCCAATACCGTGTGTCCATGCTGAAGATGGATGAGAGGACGCTGCTGCGTGAGGCCCGGGAGGTCAGCCTAGAGAAGCTGCAGCAGGCTGTGAGGCAGGTGCGCAGGCAGGTGGTGGGTGAGGCCTCCCAGGTTTACGTGGGGATGCGGGGCTGCCCTGTTCCCTGCAGAGAAGGTGTTGGGCTCAGGGCCAGGGTCCCAAGTGTATTGCATCCTGGCTTCTGATCAGCACCCAGCCTACTCTGACCCTCCACCTTGGCTGTGGAGGGGAGGGGGCATTTCTATCAAGTTTCAGATGAGGAAGGACAAGGTAGATGATGATCTGACCCTAAGGCAAAGATTCCTGATGTCAGGATCTCAGCAGCATCTGGCCTGTCTGTGCCCACCTTGTGGCTACATGGCCCTCATCCGGCCATGCTTCTCATTCGTGTGTGTGTGTGTCTTGGGGGCAGCCCAGCACCATACACCCAGCTGCAGCCAGCTTGCACTGGAGGGGTATCCCAGACAGCTTGGCCTGCTGTTCACCTGGTGCCCCCCAAGTGAGGGAAGTCACAGCGGACCTTCACAGGCCATCTTAAGAGAGGTGGCTCCCTCTCCAGCCAGGGATCATTAGCACCCATCCCACCCCCAGAGAGAGGGTCAGTAATCTGCTGGGAAGCACATAGCTGCAGCTGGGCACAGGTAAAGGGGCACAGAGGAAAGAGGCATGAGTCAGGTCTGGGAGACACCAGCAGCAGCTACACCTCAGTCCTGTAGGGAGTCTGAGCACTCAGTCTCCCCAGCTACAATGTGACAACACAAACATGTTGCTGACGGGATGGAGGGCCTCCTGTGCCCTGGTGTCCAGAGCATTTGGGGGGCTCAGCCTTCAACCTCTCTGGAGGTCAGATTGGTACCATGTGGTCTAGATTCCTGTGAGTCTCGTGGTTAGCCTGGACCGCCTGGTGTGGCCTGAGCCCCAGGTAAGCAAGGACACTCCTGTCAGCAGAACATCCCCAGGGCTCCAGGTACCTTCCAGGGGTCAAAGGCCAACCTTGCTGGGATGTGGACAGTCTACCAGCAGCTCATGGGTAGAATCCACCCAGGGCAGTAGGCTTGGACCAGAGCCTCATGGTCCTGCCATTTTCGGGGTGGTAGGGGATCTCCTAAGTGTACCCAACTGCCTCGAGCCCACTGGTCTGGCCAGACCCAGAGGCAGCCTGGGCTGTGATCTGTGTGAACATGGCCTACCAGGTGACCATAGTGCCATTCGTATTGGCCTTGGCAGGAGGTGTGGCGAGCAGTGAGGCAGCCTCTTGGAGACCCTGAACATCACTGTTTGCCCAGGATCAGCCTGTGTCTCACACACATGGTCAGGCCATCTGACTGTGAGCTGGCTCCTTGCCAAAGCCTTGACTGTCCTATAAAGAAAGAAAATGTCCAGAAAGAAAATGTGTTTGAAAGGTGGCTGTTGAGGCCAGGATGCCTCTGCTCTGGTACCCACCTGGACCCTCCTTACATGCCAGGGCAGCCTCCCCTTGAGTGTGGAAGGAGCCCAAGGGTGTTGGGCACTGCCCTACCTCCCTCCCTCTGGGCGCCACCTGCTAACATAAGGCCTCTCCCTGCAGAACGGACTCATGTCTGGGCTCATGCAGATGCTGCTGCTGAAGGTGTCTGCCCACATCACAGAGCAACTGGGCATGGCCCCTGGCGGAGAGTTCAGGGAGGCCTTCAAGGAGGTGGGTACCAGGCCTGGCCTGCAAGGGATCGGGGAGCTGCTGCACCCATGAGTCCTGACACTCAGCCTCTGCTCCAGGCAAGTAAGGTGCCTTTCTGCAAGTTCCACCTGGGTGACCGACCCATCCCAGTCACCTTCAAGAGGGCCATCGCTGCACTCTCCTTCTGGCAGAAGGTCAAGCTGGCCTGGGGCCTGTGCTTCCTGTCAGACCCAATCAGGTAGGGCAGCCCACCTGGCCCTCCATGTACATGTCCAGCAGCTGTCCCTGCCTCCTCTTCCAGCTGAGCCTCCTCCCACAAGGACCCCCAACCTCCTCCCACCATAAACCCCAAGTAAACAATGTGGTGGTCCCTGCCCTGGGCCAGCAGGACCAGCCTCCGCTGGCCTATCTCTGCGGGCTGGCAGCGTGCCCTCTGCCCCTAGCAAGGACGATGTGGAGCGCTGCAAGCAGAAGGACCTGCTGGAGCAGATGATGGCCGAGATGATCGGGGAGTTCCCTGACCTGCACCGCACCATCGTCGCGGAGCGCGACGTCTACCTGACCCACGCGCTGCGGCAGGCCGCCCGGCGCCTTGAGCTGCCACGCGCCTCTGAAGGTGGCGGGAGGGCCGGGCGGGGGCTCCCTGGGATGCAGTATTCCCGCGCTGCAGCTGACCTCCGCCCTCCCCCACAGCTGAGCCTAGGAAGTGTGTCCCTTCCGTGGTCGTGGGCGTCGTGGGCATGGGCCATGTGCCCGGCATCGAGAAGAACTGGAGCACCGACCTCAACATCCAGGAGATCATGACGTGAGTGCCCAGGCCCGTCCCTGCAGCCCCCAGCGGAGGCCACGCCGGGTCCCCCAATGCTCGGTGGCGCCCACACGTGGGGGGCTGGGGCTGGGGGGCGTGTGCCCCAGCCAGGCCCAGCCCCCCCTTCCTCCCCCAGCATCCCCCCGCCGTCCATCTCGGGCAGAGTGTCCAGGCTGGCCTTGAAGGCCGCCTTCTTCGGCCTGCTGGGCTACGGCCTGTACTGGATGGGCCGCCGCACCGTGAGCCTGGTCCTGTCGCTGCCCGCTACGCAGTACTGCCTCCAGAGGGCGTCTGAGGCCCGGCCGCGCCAGTAGGCAGCCCGCGGGGGAGACGAGAAGCCGGCACCGCCCTGGAGTCGTCTTGGGTGCAGGTGCATTAAAGCCACCCCCCATGGGGGTCCAGGCCAAGCCTCGCTGCCCTCCCCAGTCCCTGCCCACCAAATAAAAGATTATTGAATCATCTGAGCTCGGGCCTCCCAGCAGCCCCCTCCACACCGCAGGGGCTGTCCATGGGCTTCAGCACCCAGGCCAGCTCCGGGGGCGGGATGGGAGGTGCCAGGTGCACAAGACCCGTCCCCCTGGGCTGGGCCCGGTGAGCTGCTGACTGTACCTACCTCACTGTGCCTTGTGCTGCAGCTGGCAGGAGCGTCTGGTCCCAAGTGCGTCTCCCGGTGGGTTTAGGGCCGGCCGGTTTGGCAAGGGCCGGTCACCCCACACCGCTGTGTACTGGCAGCTCCGCGGGAGATTTGCTGACCTGGATGTGCCCTGGCTGCAATCTCTGCCTACAGAGATTCTGTGTTTGGGTTTTTTTTTTAATGTCTAAAAATTTTTCACTCAGGTAATTTTAGCTTCAAAGAAAAACAAAAACTGGAGCAAATGTCAGGAAATACAAGCCTTAAAACCAGCTGGGACAAAGAGGAAGGCTTCCTTTGTGTCTCTGATCTGAGTGGGCGTGTGCACGTTGGGTCAGCTTGGGGTCCAACCCAGCCCTCTGGGGGCTGTACCTGAAGGCTGGCACAGGCCAGGGCTGCGTCAGGTGTGAGGTTGCTGTCTAGGTCCACCCTCCTTGAGGTCAGGAGGGCCTTGAACCTGCTGTCTGCATCCAGTGGGGGTACCTGGGCCACCTTGACTCTTGGTGGACACCCAGTCTGTGTGTCAGCCTGTGCCATGCAGCGCTCCTGGTCAGCTGTGGCCAGCATCTGTACAACTCCCCAATCAGGGCCCAGGGTCATTTGTCCTGTGTTGACTGTCAGCTGAATCAGGTAAAACCCACCCATTTTGAGCTGGACAGGGACTGCCAAGCTGGCTGGGCTGTGTCTTCCTGTCTCATGTTTGTGGATTTGTTCCCTTAGAAATTGAAATAAATTCTAATTTTGGAAGCTCCTGCTTTGTGAAGTGTGTGGAAGTGGGGCTCAGGTGAAGGCACAGGGAGGTCCTGGCCTCCCATGCCCACCCCCTGGGCCTGCAGGATGCTGAGGGCACTGCCTGAGGCCTGGGGAATGTGCCATCCACCTTAACGGAGGACACAGTTCTGGCACCTACGTGTATTTAGCAAAGGCCTCCACCCAGAAAGGTAGACCGGGCCCAGCCAAGACAGCCTGCTCAGGGTCCCTTCATACCTCCCAGTACAGACTTGCACACATGAGGGGAGGAGGCCCAGTGGGGACCAACAGCATGAACCTACTCAAAAAGAGACCCACAGTGAATGGGGACGGAGGAGGCCGGAATGCAGAGGGCTTGGCTGTGGGTGCTGGGTGGCCTCTTCCCCACGTCTGTTCCCTAGGAAGCTTGACTGGATGCCCCAGGCTGGGTCTTACTGTCCTCTCTGGCCTGCATGAGTTCCATGGTACCAGCAGGTGGGCCTCACTAGCCCAGAGGTGGGCAGGGGCTTTAGGGATGCCACGCCTATGCCTGACCAGGTCTTCTCTCCACAGGCCCCAGGTGGTGCTGCTGAAACCCCAAGGTCTGGCTGGGTGGGGCATGAGGGATGAGAGGTCAGGCACCAGCTGGGCCCCTCTACAGGTCTTTCTAGCCTGCGTGCACCCACTCAGCCAGGTGGCTTCTGACCCATCACCCACACTCAGTGTCAAGACTGCTTCCTGCTTCCAGGACCTGCCTGGTTCCTGCCCAAGAATACTGGGGACAGGTCAGGACATCCACACAACAGGCTGCTTTAGGCTCATGCAGGAGGGTCTGGTGTGTCCCCCTTTCTAAGCAAGGTAAACCCCCACAGGCAGCCAGTAGGGCTCATGTTGGGTGTCAGAGACAGGTGTCAATGCACAGTGGGAGGATTACAGGACTGAAGCCCTGGCCAGCTGCTTCAGATAGATGGGAATGGTGGCTGACTGATTGCTGGGACAAGGTGAGGAAGTTTCTGCTGAGCCAGCTCAGCCCCATCCTGGGAGGAACTTCCCTCAGATCTGGGTGGATAACCCCAGGGCCTGCCGTGGCAGGTACACCATCCAGCCCAAGGGGACCAGTGCCCCTTCCAGGTGAGCAGCCACCCACACACTGTACTACAGCCTGGGGTAGGGACCCACCAGTGCTTTGAGCCCAAGGGTGAGATGCTAATACACATGGGTGGAAAGAGGCAGGGAAGGTGGGCTGTGCTTTACCAGTGGGGCTCCAGCCCACCCCCTGAAGGCACAGAGGTGTTCACTGAGTGCTGTTCACTCCATAGGTGCTGGGCAGAATGTAGGTTTGGCTTCTGAGTCCCTGGGTGGTAGAGACTTGGGTGCAACTTCAGAGCGCCGTCAGTACACTGGGTAGCAGCTGCATCTGACAGACTGTGGATCTTCACCCTAATTTTTTAAATTGTTGTTATTTTAGTTGTAGATAGACACAATACCTTTATTAATTTTATGTGGTGCTGAGAATGGAACCCAGGGCCTCACACATGCTAGGCAAGCAAGCGCTCCACTACTGAGCCACAACTGCAGCCCTCTTCATCCTATTTTTGAAAATCCAGATTTCTATTACAATATGTGTTTATACTACATTGATAAGTGGGAAAAAAACAACGGGGTATATGTTTTTCAGATAAATACCTGTGAATCCTAGTGACTTGGGCCAAGGCACGATTGGAAGTTCCAGGCCAGCATGAACAACTTAGTGAGATCCTATCTCAAAACACAAAAAGGACTGGGGATGTGCTCACTGATGAAATACCCCTGGGTTCAATCTCCAGTACCTAAATAAATACTTAGGGGAATGTGGCTGTCAGAGAGGGGTAGGCTGCATGGGGCTGCTAAGGCTCCTGCCAGTTTCTCTGCAACACACGAGGGTGGTGTCTAGATGGTGATTCAGAGTTGACACTGGGGCAGAAAGAATCCCTGGACTCTGAGAGGTCCTGGCAGGGAGTACAAACAGAGCTTCAGAGGACAGGAGGATTGTACTGGTCATGGGCAAGGGCCTGAGTCTTGTCCTAGGGACTGCAACTTGGATCTCCACAGAACACAGGGGAGGGGAGTGGGGCCTCTAGATTAGGTCAAGCAGAAACAAGATGTGGCTGGGAGCTGCTGACCTGAACCTTGGCACCCACTCCTCAGACCATCACTAGCTGGGGCTGAAGCATGTCTGAGCCCTGACCTCCAGCTGGGTCTGCAGTCCTAGTTGGCTGTGGGCCTGCAGGACATGGACAGCCTCATACCTGGGCCCAGCCTACTATAACAGCTTCCATGCTGGCAAGGAGGGTCAGCTCCCCCGCTAACCTTGGCCAGCACTCAAGAAACATTGGTGAGCACCTGGGACTGCAGGGGGCTCTCCAGTCCACCTCCCCTGCTCCCAGGAGGACTCTCCTGCTTTGCGGAGAAGCTCCTACAGGCTAGGAATGAGGGTTGGGGGGAGAGAGGTCCCCAGCCCAGAGGTCCCAGATTTCCCAGTACCTCTGCCCTGAGGACTTTGCCCTGGGGGTCCCATGTAGTGAAGCAGCTCTGAGCACCTTGGGACTGGGAAGGCCATGGAAACACACAGAGAGGGGCTGCCCATACCATCCAGGGGATATGGTTCCAGGGCTCAGGACAGGCTGACAGCCAGGTGGGCAGCGCCTTCAGCATACCAGATCAAGACCCTTCCAGAACAAAACTGGAGACTTTGCTAGCTACCGCCAAGATTAACCAGGCACAGGCCGGTAATAAAGCAAATGAGGCCAGGCAGGAATCAACAGGCCATGGCCAGGGTCTCACCAGGCTGCCTCCAGCCTGTGCTGGACAGCAGGCAGTGATGGGGTGTAGGAGAGACGGGATGGGCCCTGCACCCCAATCTGTTGTGTGCTTGCACAGTCCTATGAGATATCAGTGCCCCACTGGGCCTAGGCAGGTGAAGACTCATGCATTAAGTTCAAGCCCCTCTCTGCTGCGTCTTCTGTGCTGGTATGGGGTGAGGGGCAGCCAGCTCCTATCCTGCCCAGCCCCTTGGACCCTGGACTGCTTGCAGACACTCAGGAGGGCTTCTTGAAGAAGGCCATGCAGTTCAACGGTGTAGCCAGAGGCAAAGCCACCAAGGCTGAGAAGGGCCACAGCTCTTCTGTGCTGACCTGTTGAAACCCTTAATACCTACCATGTGTCCCCTCAGGCTAGCAGGTCACACAGCCTAATAATATTCATGAACTCCCCAAACCCAGTCTCAGCCGAATGTGGATGAGACAGGGAGCCGGGCAGGATGGTTCAGTAGCACCCAGGGCCTGGGAAGAGGAAGGGGTGACACTAAGCTATGGCCCTGTCTCCTAGGGCAGTGACAAAGGATACTGGAAACTGGAGACAGTGGCTCCAATGGCAGGCCTGGTGGGAAGACCCCAGATAGGCCCAGCTGGGGTACTCAAAGATCAGGGCTACTGTCCAATGCTGGACAGGATGCCCATTCAGCACAAACTAACTACTTTGTCTCTTCATCCACATAACTCTCCACCCCATGCAGAAAGTAAGCGGGTCACTCATGGTCACCCAATCCCACAGGGGCAAGCTGGGGTCACATGGGGTCTCAGAAGCCCATGCTGTGGCTCCAAGAGAAAGTTCCAGTTCCTTGAAGTGTAGAATGAGGTGGGGGACAGAAATGGAACAAAGACTGGTTGCAGCCAGGAGGGACCATGTACCTTTGTCTAGTGTCCCTGAACCCAGCTCAAGGTCTCAGATTTTTCTTTGGGACCAGGTTGGGTAGGAGCTTAGAAAGGGGGACACCACAAGCTTGTCTGAACCTTCTGTCATCCTTTAGCACCTGCTCAAACTCCTCACCTGGAGAGCTAAGCTTGACAGGAGGATCTGGACCTGTGGGTGTCACAGGTGGCTCCTCTGGGGCCCCAGCCCCATTCTGGGGGACCTGGCACCCCATCATCAGGATGCCTTCCCTCTCAGACGGCATGTGACTGAGACACACAGACAGACAGGGGGAGAAAGGGTGAGGCAAGGTGCTTATGAGGAAGCACTGCGGGGAAGAGGAGCCAGCACTCATGTATGTCTGCGGACCCAGGCTCCCAGTGGGCCCAGGACCGGCATGGCCCCTGGCCGTGGCCTTTGACGCTTCACTTTGGCCTTGCTCTCGCTGGCCCAGAATTGTTCCCATGCGAAGGTACAGGTGGCCTGCTCCCACCTGGGGCCCACGGAACACTTCCAGATGCGGCCTCAATGTCCAGCCATTCCTGCCACTGGAGCCCTGAAAAACGAGGGTCTCTGTCTCCTCCGCTCGTGCCAGGTGAGCCCCGCAGCCCAGCGCGAGGCTGGGGCTGATTTTGGCTTCGCCCCGACTTGGAAGTGCCCCTGTGGTCTTGGGGACGTCACTCAGCATGTCAGCGCACTCGGAGCAGTCTGGTCTGTCATATGTCACCGGGTCGCAACTTCAGGGACCTACAAGTCAGGTACTCAGGGAGCCAGCCGCGGCCACTGCAGACTAGAGCTCGACCCCGGCCCTCGAGGGCGATTGGCGACTGGCACCCCGCGGTGGCAGAAAGATGGACGAGCCAGCCAATCAGAGCCAATCCTGGGGGGTGCGGCCTGCGCAGGCGCGGCTGCGGACACCGCCCCCCAGCGAAAGGGCGTCACGCGGGGCGGGACTTCCGACCGGGACAGTGGGGCTTCCGGCGGGCGGCGCGGCTCGGCGGATGGCCTCGCTCCGGGCTGCCCGTCTAGCCTCGCTCGCAGTCGCCGGTGTCTGGTCGCTGCCTCTGGGCCGCCCGCCGCCCGCGCCCTGCTCGGCCTGGGCCGCCGCCATGGAGCCCGCACCGCGCTGGCTGGCGGGGCTGCGCTTCGACAACCGTGCTCTGCGCCTGCTGCCGGTGGAGACGCCGCCGCCGGGCCCCGAGGGCGCCCCGTCTGCGCCGCGGCTCGTGCCCGGGGCCTGCTTCAGCCGCGCGCGCCCCGCTCCGCTGCAGCAGCCGCGCGTCGTGGCGCTGTCGGGGTCGGCGCTGGCGCTGCTGGGGCTGGAGGCCGCCGGGCGCGAGGCCGAGGCGGAGGCCGAGGCCGCGCTCTTCTTCAGCGGCAACGCGCTGCTGCCCGGCGCCGAGCCGGCCGCGCACTGCTACTGCGGGCACCAGTTCGGGCAGTTCGCGGGGCAGCTGGGCGATGGCGCCGCCATGTACCTGGGCGAGGTGTGCACGGCGGCCGGCGAGCGCTGGGAGCTGCAGCTCAAGGGCGCCGGCCCCACGCCCTTCTCCAGGTGCGCGGGGGCTCGGGGAGGCGGGTGACCCTCGGCCGCGCCCGCGCCCTTCAGTGAGGCGGGTGGGACGTGCTCGTGTCCTCCTGAGTTGGGCCAGCCCTGATCTTGGAAGGATGTCGTGGTGGGTAGCGTGTCCTGGCGAAGGGACCAGGGACAGAGCTGCCCCAGGCTCTGCCTGGGCTCCTGCTGACTGGCGGTGCGGGGCGGTCCCACTGCCCCTTCTGTCGGATGAAGCGTCTTTCCGTTAAGAACACAGTACTGATGGCCATCCACGCTGTCCTCATGACACGCAGAGGACTTTAGAGCCAGTTCCACGAATTACTGTCGTGACGCTCATGTTTACCCGGCTTCCCAGGCCCGTGCTCCTCCCTCCAGTGCCACCTGGGCGGCCTCCCTCCCCGCAGCATCTCAGCTGGTGTTCCTTCAGAGGCCCCTGTGGGCTCACCCTACCCTCTGGGGGACAGAAGCTCTTCAGACCCACCTTCCCTGTGTGCCTTCTCCTGGGCCGGCCCTTTCTGGTCACCCTGTGGAGGCACACAGGTGGTCGGAAGCAGCCTATCCCCATGGCTGGCCTGCCTCCTAGACACCCCAGCACCGGTTCTGCTGTGCTGCTTTTCACTGCAGTTCACGGGCTTTTTTTGTGTGTGAACCAGGGATTGAGCCCAAGGGGCCTTGTTCACTGAGCCACATCCTCAGCCATTTTTTATATTTTGTTTAGAGACCAGATTTCACTGAGTTGACCAGGCTGGTCCTGAACTCTAAATCCTCCTGCCTCAGCCTCCTGAGCCACTGTAACGGGGATTAGAGGTGTGTGCCACTGTGCCAGGCTGCCGTTCACGTATTTGCTCATACTCTGTGCTTGTTCAGTGACTTAAAAACAGACGTAACCTGCATTTTATGTTCAGTGGTCAAACATTCCAGATCTGAGGCTTTCACCCCTTCTCTTTCTAGCCACTGACATGTCCAGCAGCTCAAAGCACCCTCCCTCTTCATCTCCCAGGCCAGTCCTCAGAATGACTGGCTCGTCCTCATCTCCAGGTTGCAGCCTTTTAGCTCTGGCACGTTCACTGAGCTGTGCATGGTCCCCAGCAACCTGCTTACAGGCATCTTGTGGACAGTGTCCAGAGACCTCTTCCTGAGCCTCTTTGAAGTTCATGCTTTCGTCCTGATGATGCTTCGTCTTTATCGGTTATAAAGACCAGCTTGTGAAATAAATCAGGTTCCTGTTGGAGGGTGCTTTTTTTTTCTTTGCTAGTGCTGCCGGTGAGATGTTCTCCCGCCCTGCCTCAGAAAATGCTTTAAAATAGATAGCTGTATCTTTATTTTTTATTTATTTACATGTGGTGCTGAGGATTGAACCCAGTGCCTCACACATGCTAGGCAAGTGCCCACCACTGAGCCCCAGCCCCAGAAAATGCTTTTTATGTTTAGAGACTTGTGGGGGTTTATTCAGTGTTCCAAGACTTGAGGTATGGTACAATACTTTGGCTAAGTTGCCCAGGCTGGCCCCAGATTTGCGGTTGTCCTGCCTTGGCCTCCAAATAACAGGGACCTGGGTGTGTGCTAGCATAGCTTCTAAAACATTTTCCTTTAAGAGGAAGGGGGTCTTTGGACCCTTGCTCAGGCTCGGCCTACCCTTCTGTGGCCTCAGCAGTTCTAGATGAGGCTGAGGCCCATGGTGGTTGTGAGCCTCTAGGTGTGACTTTGAGGGGAAGGTAGGTTGTTCTCACCCCTGCCTACTGTGGCTGTTGGGGTTCCAGGACAGGCCTCTACTGGCCAGCTCAGGAAAGTCAATACCTGGGCTTCGGTCCCAAAGCAAGGCAGTGTGCCTACTTGCCCAGGACAAGGTTCACAAAGCAAAAGCCAGAACCACAGTATGAAAATCCAACACAAGACTCACAGCAGCCCAAGCCACAGGGCTCACAGGACACGTGGCTGGTTTTATCAGATTCCAGGTGAGCTGGACTGTGCTGGCTTCTGGGCAACCTTGAGGCGTCTTGCTGGGCTAAGGAGCAACTCCCGTAGCTAGGAGGGTGGCATGCCCTGGGAGATATAGGCCCTGGCATAGTTCCTCTGAGCCCAGGAGATGGCAGGTAAGGGGCAGATGAGACTGAGGCACCCGAGGTGGGCACCGTCACCCCTCAACCCGGTTCACTGCCTGGCCCCACTAGGTCTCCAGAAGTGTTAGTTGAGCCTGGAGTGAGCCCTCCTCTGCCGCACGAGTCCAGGTCTGCCCAGCACCTTAAGGCCCTTGGCCCCGAGAACCAACCAGTCTAGGGCTGAGCCCAGCATCCAGTCTCATGTCTGTGGACAGCAGTCCACCCTGTGGTACCCTCTCCCCCAGTATCCAGCTGAGGTGGAAGCCACACTCCTCACCTTCGCAGGTGGGCTTGCTCTTTGACATCTGCCTTTGCTGTGTTTCCAACTACCACCACCACAGCCCTTCCCTGGGCATACTGTGGGTTTGTATGGGTTCTGGACAGGGCCCTTGGAGATCAGCATGACCTAGACATGGCCCGTCCAAGTGTTGTGTGTGCTGCTGCCCCTGCTTTCCCTTTTTATGCTCTACTTCTAAAAGAGAAACAGGCTCAGTGCAAGAGTTCAAGCCGTGCAAGGCTGACCAGAGCAGAGTGCAGTTCTGCTGCTGTGGCCTGTTCTCGGGCTGGCTGGCTGATGGGCAGAACCTCCCGGGCCTGTCACCAGGAGCAGATGCAGCCACCGTGTGCCCATGTGCTATTCTGCCCATTGTATGCTTGGAGCCTGGCCTCCCTGCTGGTGGTGCTGGGGGCGGAGCTGTTGGGGTGCCCATCTCTGGCAGCTCACCTCACCCTGATGAGCAGGAGACTCCAAGCTCACCTTCTCATGGGCTGATTCAGTCTTCTCTGTACTGCAAATAGTGCTGGTGTGTATCTGTGCATTGTAATAAGAACATTTCTGTGGATAAATTAATACATTTCTGTGAGTAAAGCCTGCAGGCTTGAGGGTGTGCTTTGGGCTAGTGGGGTCTCCTCTGTCCTCCACTGGGCTGGATTGTGTGGCTCTTATACCTGGGCACACAATGTCTGGAATCGTCTGAGGTGGCCTTTGTTCACAGTGCTGTTGGAGCTGCACAAGAACCATTTGGCTGAGAATGTCGTTTGGGTGTGTCTTTGCTCAAGTGGACACCTGTCTGACAGGCACTGGCCTCTGTGTTTGATTTCAGACAGGCCGATGGCCGCAAAGTCCTGCGGTCGAGCATCCGGGAATTTCTCTGCAGTGAGGCCATGTTCCACCTGGGGGTTCCCACCACACGGGCTGGGGCCTGCGTCACATCTGAGTCCACGGTGGTGCGTGATGTGTTCTATGATGGTAATCCAAAACACGAAAAGTGCACAGTTGTGTTGCGAATGGCTCCCACCTTCATCAGGTAATGCTGGTCCTCTGGGCCTGCCTGCACGCCTGCTTGTAGAGTCCTAGACTGCGCTTGTGCAGCCAGAAGGTCGCGCAGAACAGAGGAGCCAGCAGACTGGTATTCCATGCCCCAGGAGAGACTCAGTGCAGGAGGTTGGTTGTCCCATCCTGGTAGACGGTGGGGCTGGCTGGGCAGAGGGACCCCTACAGGACCGTGCCTGGGAGGAGGGGCTGTCCAAAAGGAGATTGCTAGGAGTGTAAGACAAGGAACTATCTAAAATTGACCAAGGAAATGGGCTCAGTGACATAAGAAAAAGGCTGATAAAAAGCGGGTGTGCTGTAGTCCTTGTGGTCATCCTTACCTGTCCAGATGCAGTCCAGCTGCTCAGTGACCGGAGTCCTTTCTGGTGCTTTCCTACCCCAGGCCCTGGGCCACACAGTCCTCAAGAAGCCACAGCACCAGGTGTGCTCCCTGCTCTCAGGCCCTCTCAGGACAGCTGGGAACAACATGTAAACATCTGTATTTATTGAAAACTATAACGAGTTCACCACAATCTCTCAAGTGCTGTGGAAGGTTGTTTTGCTTGGTACTGAGGATTGATTGAGCCAAAGGCACTCAACCCCTGAGCCACATCCCCAGCCCCTTTTTATATTTTGTTTAGAAACAGGGTCTCACTAAGTTGCTTCGGGCCTTGTTCCTGCCTCAGCCTTGCAAGCCACTGGGATCACAGCCGTGCGCCAGCGCATCTGGCTGGTTTTCCCATATCTGTAAAGCTGTTTCTGACCATGAGAAACCTCAGCATTATCCTCATCTTATCTCTGCCATCACCTCGCTGCCTGACTTCTAGCACCTTCAGAACTGATTCCCTGAACCAAGAGCTGGGCTCACCTTGTGGTTCTCCCATTCTGCCAGGTCCCCAACAGCCACCAGCTGCTCATGCCTGAGATAGACTGGAGGGTCTCTGGCCTTTCTGACCAGCGGGGGAGTAGGAGGAACCAGGGCCCAGGTCTGCCTTGTGGTGGCTCTGATGATGCTTGCTGGAGGCTGTTTTGTCTCTGCCATACCCGCAGCCTCTCGGCCTCAGCCCACTAGTTGCCAGAACAATCCCAGTATGACAACAAACTGCCTGCAGCCTTGGCTGCTGTGGCTTCTGCTGAGAGCCACTGGGACCTGCAGCCTAGAACCCGCCCTGTCCTCCCTGCCGGGATGCTGGAGTGGGGCAGGAGAAGCTGTGGCCATCCCTGGGCCCCAGGCTGCCAGAGTAGGAGCTGTCTGCCTGAAAATGAGCCAGGATCCAGGTGCACCTGGCCTTCAGAGCTGGTGGCCTGCTGCCTGACCAGGGTGCTTTCCTGCAGGGCCTCAGCTGCTTCTTTTTTATTTTTCTTACAAGGTGCTGGGGTCTCTGAATTGCCAAACACCTGGGTCTTCCCTCCAGGTTTGGATCCTTTGAGATTTTTAAGCCTGCTGATGAGCATACGGGGCGTGCAGGTCCCAGTGTGGGACGGAATGACATCAGAGTCCAGATGCTTGACTATGTGATTGGCTCTTTCTACCCTGAAATCCAGGCTGCCCACGCCCACTGCAGCGACCAGGTGCAGAGAAACGTTGCCTTCTTCCGAGAGGTAGGTGGAGGCCAAGCACCACGGGCCCCTATGCCCAGGAACTTGAGGCCTGTTTCAGTCAGTTTTTTTGCTGTTGTGACCAAAAGACCTGATTTTAGAGAAGGAAAAGTTTATTTGGGAGCTCCTGATTTCAGAGGTCTCAGTCAGCTGGCTCCACTCCTCAGGGCCCCAGGTGAGGCAGAACATCATGGCAGAAGGGTGTGACGAGGGAGGAGCTCAGGACATGGCACCAGGAAGCAGAGAGCGAGAGAGCTCTGCTCACCAGGCACAAGATGTACACCCCAAAGGCACACCCCAGTGACCCCCTCCTCCAGCCACACCCTGTGCCTTCCGTTACCACCAGCTAGTTCCCACAGGCCATCAGTGCACTGATTGTGCCAGGGCTCTCCCAGCCCAGTTACTTCACGGTAAGCCTGCCTGCAGTGTCTGCACGTAAACTTTTGGAGGACACTCCCATCTAAACCATAGCAGGGCCCAACCCACTGCTGAACACAGTCATTTCAGCCATGGACAAAGCTTTTACCAGGTGCCATCCTCTCCTGCAGCCTTGTGGCTTGGGCAGCTGGCAGGCACACGAGTCAGGCTTTGAGCACTGCTGGGGCCTGGGGCACTGTGGTACTTGAGCTTCCTTGAGGGGTCTGTGTGCTGGGTATATCTGCAGGAGCCAGCAAGGCCCTGGCCTGGGGAGAGCACTGGAGGGGAGGACTGGCCTGTTGTCATCTGGGGGAGACATGGATTGCCCAAGTTGGGTCTGGGCCCCTGCCCCAGGCAGCACACTCGTCTGCTCAGTCAGGTTATCACCTGGTCTGGCCCACAGCCTGCAGCCTCAGTGGGCAGAGGGAAAGAGGAAGGTCCAGGCCAGGTAAGGTACACAGGGGTCGTCTCCAAGGGCCAGACCACCATGGAGCCACTGCAGCCAGGGCAGGTTCAGGCCCATCTGCCCAGTGGCTTGGGCTGGGGCACCACAGGTCAACAGCAGTGGCACTAAGCAGGTGTCGGTGGGCCCATTACACAACAGGTCCCTCCTCTGGCCAGCTCAGCCACATGGCACAGGTGTAGGTAGGTGGTCTGGTCAGCTTGCTCCATCCCTCTGAGCTTGGTCTGACAGCAAAGCTGAAAGGACAGTGCTGCCCAGTTCTCAGGAGCATCTGTGCTCTGACATGAAACAAGACACATGCAGGACCCTGCTGGGCAAGGGCATGGTGCAGTGAGGGCCCTGGAGGCAGCCCTGCATCCTGAGACTCCTGTTCTCCAGCAGCACTAGTTGGGGGGCACCATGTGGTGGGAGTGCTGGGTGAGCAGCAGGGCTGGTGGGCACACCCCATCTTGTGGCACCCAGTGTGGATAGGCAGCAGCTTGCAGGGCACCTCAGCCTGGACCCAGCACATTGTGCCAGGTGGCATGTTCCTTCCTGGTACCCATGGGGCCTTTATTTATATATTTATTTTTGAGAGAGAGAGAGAGAACTTTTTAATATTTATTTTTCAGTTTTCGGCGGACACAACATCTTTATTTTTTTATTTTTATGTGGTGCTGAGGATCGAACCCAGCGCCCCGCGCATGCCAGGCGAGCGCATTACCGCTTGAGCCACATCCCCAGCCCCCCATGGGGCCTTTATAATGGGCCCAAGTCTGCCCAACCAAATCGGTGCCTGATTTTTCTGGTTTGGTTAAAAACCAAAATGGTGAGCATATGAGGAACGGAAGGTGGTGTAAGTGGCAGCTGAGGCCCCACGTGCCAGCTCACCCAGACACAACTCTGCTGGAACACTGAGCAGGGACTACAGGGGCCCTGGGTAGAGACCCCCAGACGTCGTTGGAGAGCAGGAATCACTCAGAAACACTGCTGGCTTTGCGGGGGTCGGTGGACAGTGAGGGTGGGTGGGGTGGGGCAGGACCAGGGAGGGAGCTGTCAGCACCTGTCCTTCCCCAGGTGATACGACGCACAGCCCGCATGGTGGCCGAGTGGCAGTGTGTAGGCTTCTGCCATGGCGTGCTCAACACTGACAACATGAGCATCGTGGGGCTTACCATTGACTATGGGCCCTTTGGCTTCCTGGACAGGTGAGCCGTCCCTTGGGCTGCAAGTGGTGAGCTATAGGCAGCCTGCTGCCCACCTAGGAACTAACCCCTGAGGTGCAGGCCCCAGCCGCAGTCACAGGGTGAGGGAAGGCAGGGAGCATCTGACCTGGGGCGTGGGGATTGTGTGCACAAGTCTTTTTTCAGTGTTTAATTCTTAACAACGCCTGACTGGCCATTCCTGGAAGCAGGAATCTCCCGGAGGGTTTTGAGCAAAAGCAGTGTGAGCTGTCTGTGGCATTTTAGAAAGGTTCCCTCCCCTGTGGGTTTGGGCACAGGTGGTGGGCAGGAAGTCAGGGCTGTCTGGCCCCTGGCGGGATGAGGAGAGCCCAGCTTCCCTGCACTTGAGGTGTAGGCAGAAGAACCAGGGCCATCCAGAGTCAGGGCAGGACGGGGTGGTGGCCACACAGGGCCCGCCCTCTGGGTGTGTCCTTCACAGCACTGCAGTCTGGCCTGTGTGGCAGGTACGACCCTGACCACGTGTGCAATGCTTCGGACGACGCTGGGCGCTACTCGTACAGCAGGCAGCCCGAGGTGTGCAAGTGGAACCTGCGGAAGCTGGCGGAGGCACTGGAGCCCGAGCTGCCCCGCGAACTAGCTGAAGCCGCCCTGGAGGAGGAGTTTGACTCCGAGTTCCAAAGGCACTACCTGCAGAAGATGCGCAGTAAGCTCGGCCTCGTACGTGTGGCACAGGACGGGGATGGAGCACTGGTGGCCAGGCTCCTGGAGACCATGCACCAGACTGGTGAGTGGGCACACACTGCAGCCAGTTCTGGCATTATTACTGTGGGCAAATTTGCAATTTTCCCTTTTCACCTTTTTTTTTGGGGGGGGGGCAGGTACTGGGGACTGAACCCAGTGGTGCTTTACCACTGAGCTGCACCCCGAGTCCTTTTAGAGACAATGTCTTGTTAAGTCGCTGAGGCCTTGGACTTACGATCCTTCTGCCTCAGCAGCTGGGCCACCAGGCCTGGCCCCTATTGACCATTTTAGAGATACACACTCAGTGTCTTTGAGCACGTCTGAATGCCATGCAGCCACCACCACCATCCTGAACCCAAACTTGGCCTCCTTGAAACTCCAACACTTAGAGCCCTAACAAACAGCCCTGACACCCACCATTCCACTTTCCAAGTGTGACCATGACTGGCTCTTGTAGCATATGTCCAGATCTTCTTCTTCTTCTTCTTCTTATTATTATTATTTGGTACTGGGGATTGAACTTGGGGGCATTCGACCACTGAGCCCCATCCTCAGCCCTATTTTGTGTTTTATTTAGAGACAGGGTCTCACTGAGTTGCTTAGTGCCTTGCTTTTGCTGAGGCTGACTTTGTGATCCTCCCGGGCTGCTGGGATTACAGGTCACCTGGCCAGACCTGTTAAGGCCCAGTAACATCCCGTCCTGGGAGGGATGTTTGGCTACACACAGGATGCTGATGCAGGCGAGGGTTATGTCCACTGTTGGCTTTCGTGTGCACAGTGCTGCTTTGTAAATGAGCATGCAGACACCAGTCTGGTCCCTGCTTCCATTTCTTTTGTAGGTGGTTGGTAGGATTGCCCAACTGTGTTTAATTTACCGCAGCTTCTGGCTCCATGTTGAACAGAAATGGTGACAATGGGCAGCCTCACTTTGTTCCTGGTCTTGGGGAAAACCTGTCCTTGTCCGTCAAGCATGCCATCAGCTGTGGGCTTTTTGCATGTAGCTTTTGTCAATGAGCTTTTCTATTCCTAATTCACTGTTCTCACCAGGAAAGGCTGTTGGAGTTGTCCATCAAGATGATCATGGGGTTGTACTCCTCCAACCATATTTCCTTGCATTTGGGGATGAATCCTGCTTGGTCGTGAAGTGCAGTCCTGTTAAGACTCAGTACAGTTCCTGTATTTGGTGTGCTAATCTCTGGTTGAGGATTTTTGTCCCTGTGTTCCTGAGGGATATTGGCCTGTAGTCTCCTTGTAGTGCCTGGCATGGACATCCAGGCAGAAGCTGGCCTTTGAATTACAGGCTGCTTCCTTTCCCCCCACTTTTTTTTCCCCCAGAGAAGTTTCAGAGGCATTGTTAGTCTTTTGGGTTTGGTTTAGGTTCTGTTGTTGTTTTTGGCACTGAGGGTTGAACACAGTGGTGCAGTACCACTGAGCCCATTCCCGGCGCTTTTCCTCTGTGAGACAAGGCCCCAGCAAGCTGTTCAGATGGCGTCACAGGTGTGGCCCCTGTGCCTGGCAGAACCTCCTGTCTGAAGGGGAGCTCCTCCTCAGCCCCTACAGGCCCCATTCCACACCAGGCACTTCACAAATGAGAGTGGGCAGTGTCCTCCATGAATTCCCCCTTCACTCTCCACCAGTGACACACACTTGCACATTTGATGCATCCCCTCCTCTTGTCTGATTTTTTTTTTTTGGGGGGGGGGGGGGTACTGGGGATTAAACTCAGACACTCGCCCACTGAGCCACATGCCAGCCCTGTTTTGTATTTTATTTAGAGACAGGGTCTCACTGAGTTGCTTAGTGCCTCACCATTGCTGAGCTGCTCGGATTACAAACGTGCACCCAGCCAATTTTGTTGATGTTTTACAGGAACCGACTCCTACTTTCATTGTCTTTTTTACTTTTCCCACTGTTCATTTCCCCTCTGATCCTTATAACTAGATTTCTTTCACTTTTGCTAATTTTGGTCTTATTTTACTCCTTTTTGGTTTTGTTTTGCTTTTATATAGTTGATTTTAGATTGTTTAAAATGTACACATTTACTGTTGTACACATCCCTTGAGCACAGCTCTTGCTGCATGTTGCTCTAAGGACTTTATAATTTTGCTTGTGATCTCTTTTTTAACCTATGGTAGATGAAGAGTATGGTGTCTAAGCTGAATGTGGCAGTGTACATCTGAAATCTCAGTCACTGGGAGGCTGAGGCAGGAGGATGGCAAGTTCCAGGTCAGACTGGGCACCTTAGCAAGACAATCTCAGAATTAAAAATAATCTTAAAAAGGTCTGTGGATGTAGCTTAATGGTAGAGCACCCCTGGGTTCAATCTCTGGTACCACCAAAAACTATAATTCACACTTTTCCTTCCTGTTAATGAAACTAACAGAACACAGAGCACTCAAGTGGTATCTAGCTTCATCCCATTGTGGCCTAGACAGTGCCCGCGGCAGAAGCCCCTGTGCACTTCAGAGCTAGGGTATTCCCTGCTCTTGCCCAGATGGTCTGCGCATTACTGAGAGTGCCATATTCTTAGAAGCCAGCACCTGCTGTGGAGCCGCTGTTTCTCCTCCAGCTTCGTTAACTACGTGCTTGGTCACTTCCACATCTTCCTGATGTGGTGGCTGTGCTGTCTCTGTAATGGTTTGGGCCTGGCCTGTTTTGTCTGACTTCAGAGTGGCCTCAGCCCCTTGGGTCACATTGCTTAGGAGTCTCATCTTATCTCAGGCAAGCCCCTATGGACAGCATGTGGTCACCTGTCTCTGGATCCATGAGTGCAGACATAGCTACCAAGGGAAGCACTTGGGCTGTTCTGCTCTATTTTCTGTATGTCTTGAAACTTTGTCCCTCATTTCTCCATGACTGCTCTTGTTGACGACCTCCCTGCCCACCCCACCCGAGCATGCTGCTTTGGTCCCTTGTTTTCTTTAGTTTCCTTCTTAGGGGATGCCATGGTTCCTGTGCCCAGCCTTGACACACAAGGGTGGCAATGGCTCCCACTGCAGGCAGGGACAGCTGTGTCTGTTGTTATCTGTTTCGGGGACAACCTACAGAGTCACAGGAAACGGTAGCAGATGGGTGGTAGCTGAGGGGTCAGGGCCCAGCACACACTGGAGAGGGGACATGGGTTGGCCTCGAGGGAGTGTGGGGCTGGCGTCTACCAGCCTCCACCTGAGCAGCTTGTGTACAGGTGCTGACTTCACAAACACCTTCTCCTTGCTGAGCTCCTTCCCGCTCGAGCCACAGTCACCTGGCTTGGCTGAATTCCTGACCACCCTGACCTCGCAGTGCGCCTCCCTGGAGGAGCTGAGGCTTGCCTTCCGGCCCCAGATGGATCCCCGGTGGGTACTCAGGTCTTTCTACCATGGGGTTTGCTTTCAGAAGGGGAGGGGCATTCAGAAACAAAGATCTTGGGGATTGCTGGAGACAGCTAGTCCTAGGGGACCCACACAAGCCTCCTCCTGGGAATGGGGGCAGTTAGGTTCCAACTGTGACTTGGGCCTGTTGGTCAGAGGAAAACCCAGGGATACGGATGTGGGTGGGGCACAGGTTGGATGGGGATAGTGGGCATCCAGGACAGCTGTGGTATACCTGGCAAGAGCCTGCGGCACTCAGATCCCAGGCGGACCACACCTCCTGCCATTTCCCAACAGAATGGGCATGCCATGTGCAAAATGCTGCTCAGACTCAGGACGAGACCCCGGCAGTGCTGGTCGTGGCTTCTGAATAAGAACCACAGGCTGGTCACACAGAAAGGAGTTTAGTGGGGAGTGACAGGCATTGTGCTCTGGGGCTGGTGATTATCCAGGAGGACACGCTGTGTTAGCATGTGGGCTGACACCCCAACAGCAGACCTGCAGCTGGTGCCCACCTGGGGCAAAGCATAGCAGCCCTGGCTGCAGGCTCATGCCTCCTCCCCCAGGCAGCTCTCCATGATGCTCATGCTGGCGCAGTCGAACCCACAGCTCTTCGCACTCATTGGCACCCAGGCGAACCTGGCAAGGGAGCTGGACCGCGTGGAGCAGCAGTCACGGCTGCAGCAGCTGAGCCCCGGGGAGCTGCAGAGCAGGAACAGGGGCCGCTGGGCTGACTGGCTGCAGGAATACCGGTGAGCCCCGAACGCAGGGTTGCAGGGTGCCCGCTGCTCTGTGCCGCGGCCACGGCTCAGGTGGTCGCAGATGATCCTGCATGGGCGCCCTGTGGCTGCTCCTGCTGAAAGAGCAGCTGGGCTGTGATTCCAGAGTCCGGCTGGAGAGGGACATGGAGGGTGCCGGCGATGTGGCTGCCTGGCAGGCAGAGCGAGTGCGTGTGATGAAGGCCAACAACCCCAAGTACGTCCTGAGGAACTACATCGCACAGAGCGCCATCGAGGCCGCCGAGAAGGGGGACTTCTCAGAGGCAAGCATGCCCCTGTCCCCACTCTGTCCCTGGGAGGGTGGGCTGGCCAGCATCCCTCACCTGGACTCTCCCTCCAGGTACGGCGGGTGCTGAAGCTGCTGGAAGCGCCTTACCACAGCGATGGGGAAGTGGCTGGAGGCTCTGAGGCTGCGGAGGCAGCCCCTGGGGGACAGTCCTACAGCAGCAAGCCCCCACTCTGGGCAGCAGAGCTGTGTGTGACATGATCCTCGTAGTGCCTCGGCCTCTCCCGAGGCGCTCAGTGTTGCTGAGCTGCCGAGATGTGCCAGGCTGCCCCTGAGCCTCTCTCCATGACGGCAGAGACCTCCAGTCAGACCCTGACCAGTCTCTGTTGGAAGCCAGCTCAGCAGCACTGCCTGAGCCCAGCTCTCCGAGTGTGGGGACAAGGGCTCCACCTCCTTGCAGGTGATGCAGAGGGGGCCAGGCCTTGGGGCAGCAGTGGCAGCCCCCTGTCCACCTCATCCTCAAAGAAGGTCTGGGCCAGGTCCCTTAATAAAAATCAGCTTCCTCAGGCCTGTGGTGGCTCTGCCTCCTTCCCTGCCCAGGAGGGGCTCCTCAGGAGTCCTGGTAGTAGCTGTTGAAGTTGATGCGCAGCAAGAAGTCCTCGAGGTGGGGCTGGTAGCCACGGTTCACCAATTTGGTCACCACTGTGGAGGCAGCGGGCTGCTCAGGCTTCTGCCCTGCCTGTGCCTGGCTGCCCCCACCCTGCCTGGCCAGGGGAAGGCTCACCTTTGAAGAGGAAGTGGGAGTAGTACTTGAAGGTACTGTAGGACTGCTGCATGAGAGCAAAGTTGGGGTGCTCGGCACCCCGGGGGCCACTGGCTGGGCCCCAGGCCTGGGAGATGAGCTGGCTGCGGAACTTCAGCACCAGGCTGAAGATGCTATGGATGATGTTCATGACCGGTGCTGCCTTCTCCGTGAGCAGGCCCCTAGGGAAGGGCAGGGCTTCTGGTAGGCTGCTGGCCTTGCAGTGTCCCTCCCTTGGGTGTCTGGGCCTCACCTGAAGACAGCCTTGTGCAGGTACTCTGCATGGGCGCGCTGGATCTCCTCAAGGTTGCCCACTGTGGCCAGTCGGGCCCTGAACTCACACCAGCTGACGTGCAGGATCTGGTTGGCGATGTAGCCCTGGGTGACCTTCACAAAGTGCTGCATCTCGTGTTTGAACAGCTGCAGCTGGCGGAACTGCACCGAGCCAGCTGCGTGGCTCACCAGGGCTGGCAGAGGACAAAGGGTGAGCACAGCCTGGAGCCCCCACACAGGGCAGGTGGTCCAAAAAGACCTCACCTGTACGCTTGAGGTGGAAGCAGATGTCCTTGAGCGTCCACATCATGAGTTTCAGCTGCAGCAGGAAGGAGAAGATGCCGCTGTACTTGCTCAGGCAGTTCTCGGTGATGACGATGTTGAGGGGCCAGTCGACCTGCTCAGGAAGCCCTGGTCAGTGCTGGCCCCACAGGACAGGCCTCCCTGTGACGCCTGCCCACGATGTGCTGCTGACCTTGTACCTGAGCTCCAGGCAGCTCAGCACATCCGGGGCATTGGGAGCAAACACTTCAGGCAGGTACTTGAGGGCGAAGGAGAGGTTGGTGGCATGTGGGGTGTCCCCATGGAGGCTGTACTGGAGGGCCTTGCTCAGGATGCAGTTGAGGACCAGGGGGTTGAGCAGTTCCCCGGGTGTCTGCCCAGCCCCGAGCTGAGGCAGGAAAGGGACAGAGTCCCCAGGAGGGCCAAGTACAAGCCAGGCCACCTAGGTAGGGCTGGTGCCTGCCTGATCACCAATCCCCAGGCTGTCCCACAGCCAGGCAGCCAAGCTCCAAGCTGCCAGGGGCTGTGGTGTCTGGAGGGCAGCCAGGGTGGGCCCTGGGCCAGCACCAAACTCCCGCTATTGTGGGGCTCCCCTCTGGCACAATTCCCCCCAACTCCACATCCAGGGTCACCTTCTCAAAGAGCAGGTCACTCAGGGACTGGGCAAACTCCCCATCCTCCATCAGCAGGAAGTGCCGCAAAGCCTCAAAGTGCGCCTCCAGGTGCAGCTCCGCAAAGAAGTAGTCCACCGCAGCTTTGTTCACCAGGGAGACGCTGGGGCGGGGCGAGGGGCGGGGTCATGGCGGGGCGAGGGGCGGGGCCGTGGCGGGCGGGTGGAGGAGGGGCGCACACTCACTGGGCAGCCAGCGGGGCAGTAAGGGAGCGCTGCATGAGCACCGGCAGCGTCAGCAGCTCGGTCAGCTGCACCGTGGTCTCGTCCACGGCCGACTGCACCCGGGGGTCCACGGGGAAGGCGAAGGCCAGGGGAAGCACGTGGCGTACCAGGTGGGCAGCGGGGGCCTCTGCTGCAGAGAACAAGGCAGCTGTCATTGCAGCGTGGAGGCACACTGGCCTGGGGCTCCTGCCTTACCAGCGGGTGGACAGTGACTCACACATGGACTCGTAGCTGTCCGGGTACTGCTCCAGGCGGTACCGACTGGCCAGGCCTGCCACATAGGCCTGCTCCTTGCCCCAGCGCAGAGCCTCCACCTCAGCTGCTGCCTCAGGGCTGCTCGGGGCAGCTGTGCCTTCCTGAGAATCCAAACTCAAGGTGGGCTCCCCACCCAGCAGCTGCTCCCAGGCCCCCTTGGGTTTGTGTTGGAAAAGGGCATGTGGGGCTCCCTGCATGCTCCCCTCCCCAGGCTGTGTCCTTCCAACCTGAGAGTTTGGAGGCCAGCTTGGAGAGAGGTCATCATTGTCACCATTCTTCCCTGCACCTGAGTGGACACAAATGAGTGGAAGGGACATCAGAGCTGAGCATCTGCCCAGGGTACACAGCATGGGTGGCCCAGGGAGTCCCCACACATGCCCCACAACGGATTTGGTCCTGGTTAATAGACTTGGCACCTGGGGGCAACTTTCCACACTCCTGTGCCCTCCCCAGTTTGTGGGCCCCAATGCCCCCAGCCTGACCACCAACTGCTCCACTCTGACCTGGCTCCTCAGAGACACTGTCTCCCAAAGTGCTGGACTTGGACGCAGCAGAGGGCAAGGTCTGCAGGCTGCCCACATTGGGACAGCAGATGGAAGGCTCCGTGTCTGCAGGTAGCTGTGGCCCATGTTCCAGGGCAGGGTTCTGTACTTCCAGGCTTGAGCCTGCCTGAGAAACGTGGCTAGGGGGGCTCTGGTGGGGCCAGGGTGGGTTGGGCTCAGCTTCTGGTCTGTTCTCTCCCACCCTGATGCTGGCATCCGACACATGCCCGTGGACGTTCCACCGTGGCCGGGAGGGAGCCACGTCTGGCATGTTCTCCCCCACCCTGATGCTGGCATCTGACACGTGCCCGTGGACGTTCCACCGTGGCCGGGAGGGAGCCACGTCTGGCATGTTCTCCCCCACCCTGATGCTGGCATCTGACACGTGCCCGTGGACATTCCACCGTGGCCGGGAGGGAGCCACATCTGGCATGTTCTCCCCCACCCTGATGCTGGCATCTGACACGTGCCCGTGGACGTTCCACCGTGGCCGGGAGGGAGCCACGTCTGGCATGTTCTCCCCCACCCTGATGCTGGCATCTGACACGTGCCCGTGGACGTTCCACCGTGGCCGGGAGGGAGCCACGTCTGGCATGTTCTCCCCTACCCTGATGCTGGCATCTGACACGTGCCTATGGAGCTGCCCTGTGGGCCGGTTGCTTCCCTCCTCAGAGGTGACATGCCTGAGTGGGGGGGACAGAGCCATCTGTGTGCCCTCATGCGTGCCCTCCCATGGCACGTGCTCCTCAGGGCCCAAGCTGCCCTCAACAGCCTGGAGGGGACCTGAGGAAGGTGAGGTGGCCACAGCTGGCCTCAGGACGGTGCTGAAGTCGTACTCCTGTGGCTGGGCAGGCTGTGTACTAGCTGTGGCATGGGCCTCCCCAGGGGAAACGGCAGGCAGGTCTGAGCTGATGGTCTGCAGCGCCTCCTCCAGGGGAAGGGCCCTGTTGGTCTGCACAGGCTGCTCAGCGCTGGGACCCAAGGGCAGGAAGTCTGTGATGCTGAGGCCAGCAGAGAACGGCTCAGCCCCCTCTGCCAGCCTGGTCCCCGAGCCACCAGCCCCAACTGCTGGAGACTCAATGGCCTGCGTAGTGGGCACACTCGGCCTGCCTGGACAATCCCAGGCAGCCAAGTGCAGCTCTGTGGGTGCTGAATTACAGGTAGGACCTCTGTCTGGGTGCTCAGGGCCTGGAGATGTGACCTGCAACAGGGCATTGACCTAGCCTGGTCTCAGGTCTCCCAGAGCCATCTAACCCCACTCCCCACATTCAGCTCTCCGGCTGGGGCCCTCAGTCCTGCTCTAGTCCTTACCTGGGAGCAGGTACCTGGGAGGTGACCCAGCAGCTCCTGGGGCTGGCAAGCCTCAGCCACGTTCTTCAGCATCTCCTGAAATTAAGCCAGTGGGACACAGGTAGCAGCACCTGTGCACCGACCAGCAGAGCTGGCACCTAGCCCAGCACACTCTCCACAGGGCCTCCCTGGCCCATGGAAGCCACAGCCCTGCTGCCCACACATGCTGGTGATGGTGCTTATGCTGGATCAGCAGATGCCGGGTCACCCCCTGCATCTGGCACCGAGAGACAGCACAGCGCCTGTGGCAGGCTGAGGAGGGGTAAAAGCCCTGTGCCATTTCAGAAGCTCAGACACACATGGCACCCTTCAAAGAGCTGCTACTTAACGTCACTACAATACCTGGACACGCTTTTCATCTTCTAGGAAAAAACGAAGCCGTGCACTTTCCAGTCGGTGCCTCTGGATTCTCCACAGTGCCCTCTGCTCCCGACGAGCTGCCTCTGCAGACAACTTGCTATAGTGGTCCACCAGTGCCTGCCTGAAGCCATACCCAGAGTGGACACAGTCACCAGTCACTGCACTGTCTGTGGGCACCCCCAGGCCAGGAGGAATGTTCCCATGGGCGTGTTCCTGGGGCCCCTATCCTCCATCTTCCCCCAAGAACCCCTGGGGCTCCCTGGGTGGGCTAGTCTGGTAGGGGCCCCTAGCCGGTAGATGGCCAGTCAGGGCTAGACAGACGTCTCTGAACAATACCCAGAGAACCTACACGGCCTGAGGTAAGGAACTGAGCACAGAGCTGAGGCCCAGCCTGACGGGAGATGCACTCAGATGCAGTGAGCACTCTCCTGCTCTACAAGTTCAGACCCCACAGAACTGAAGACGGACACAAAATAGCACACAGAGCAAACCCAACACAAACCCAGTGATTCTGAGCCTGCCACAAGCAGGCAGCTGGACCCACACCTGGACTGGCTCGCCCTAGTTTGACCACCACAGGGTGGGGAAGGGGCCTCTGCCTGGTTCCCTGTGTGGGTAAGCAGAAGGCTACTCACATGGAGAGCCACACAGCCCAAGCCCAGCACACACAGGAGGCACACCCTCACCAGGTCCATGACAGTGTCAGAAGCAGGCGCAGCAAGCGTCCTGTGACAACGCAGGGAAGTGGCCACCCCTCACAAAGGGATGAAAGTCTTCTACTGGAAGACTCAACTCCCAGTTCATGGGACAAACTAATGTACTGCAGGAGACAGACTTTCAGGAGCTACATGAGATGTGGGCTGTCCCTTTGGGCCAGTGACAGGGCTAAGATAAATAGGAGCTGTTTAAAAGTAAGACAGCGGGGTACAGCTCAGTGCTAGAGCACTTGCCTAGCATTCGTGAGGCCCTGGGTTCATTCCCAGAACAATGAGAAAAGTTTTTAAAGGTAAAACTAAGCTTTCTTTTTTCTTTTTTTGGTGGTACTGTGGATTGAACCCAGAGCCTTTGCATGCGAGGCAAGAACTCTACCAACTGAGCTATGTCCCAGCCCCAAAATAAATAATTTTAAGGTAAACAAATAGATAAAGAGCCTAGACACCAATCATGCCATGTGACATGCCAACCAGCAAAAGGGCACTCTAGATAGCTGAGGGCACCCAGCTTGTCAGCGGCCCCAGCACGAAGCAGGGGCATGGCTCAATGCAGCAGCCTCTCCACCACACTGCGTGCCTGCACTCCTTGAGATTAAATAGCCATCACTGACATTTAAGCCTGCACTGTGCCTGTGCCTGCGGCTGCCCCACCTGGCCTTCCTGTCCAGCTCTTCCTCCAGGGCTGTCAGCCGCTTCTCTCGGTCCCGGACCTCACGAGCATAGCTGAAGTCATCTTCCAGTTCTTCCTGTCGGGCCGCCAGGCGTCGCTACCCAACAAACAGCCCTGTTTGCTAAATGGGGCTTCAGCAGCCAGAACCAAGGGGGGCTAGGCCCACCCACCTTCCGGTCCAGGACCTGCAGGCTGGGCCCACCCACCTCCTGGTCCTTCACAAACTGCTCCTTTAGACGCTGAAATTGCTCTCGCTTCCGGGCATCCAAGGCCATCTGCTCGGACATCTGCCGGTCTGTGTTGGAAGTCATGAGGAGCCCCAACAGAGGACCCAGGCCACAGAGGGGAGGATTTGGAGCCAAACTTACCGCTCAGCTCACTCAGGACCCTGGAGGCTGCTTCCCGGGCATGGAGAATTAATTCTTGTTTTGCAATTTCCATACGTAGTTCCTAAAAAGACAACAAACAAAGCACCCTCAGTTTTGGTCCCTTTCCTGAGATGGCCTGGGAGAGGGGCTGGCCATCAGAAATACCCAGCTTTTGCTGTTATCCACAGCCTCCCCTGCACCTGCATAGATCTGGGGCCAGCAGGCATGATACTCCCTCCACCTGAGGCCAGAAGGCCACCCAACAAGGTCAAGAACCTCTGATTTAGATCAATAACAAGGTATTCCCAGCTTTTGAAAAGTTGACACACTCTCAGAGACACCTGGGCTCAATCAACACCCAGGCTGTATGCCCCCTTAGAGGGGACCACGCGACTCAGAGGGGCTTCCCTGCTCGGCCTGCTGGGTTGGCTCTGCATGGGTCTCCCTGCTGCCCACCATGCTATGGGCCAGGAGGGTTTCTGGGAAATGGCATTGGCCACCATCAGCCAGGGAACACTGGGAACGTGGCCCTGCCAGACACACTAGTCCCCCAGCCGCCTGGAGCTCGCCCAGGACGTCTACCCACAACGCAGGGCCCCAGGGAAGCCCTGCTGCTGCTGCCTATATCAGCAAAGCCCAGTGAAGGCTGGGCTACCCAGACCCAGGAAGAGGGAGGGCCCCTGCCTGGACACCTGACTCCAGGACATGTGTTCCACTATCGCACCCCAGACAGCACCAGCACAGAGAACACCAGAAGGGGCTGCCCCATTGTGCATGTCTAGCACCTAGCCCCTCAGCCACCCTGGATAAGGGGGCAAAGGAAGCCCCTGAGGCCCAAGGGAAGCACCTTCTCCTCCTTGCTGATGGAGCTGTGGCGGGCAACCCTCTCCATCCGCCCAACGTAGACAGCACAGTCCTTCTCTATCTCCTTCAACTCCTCCAGGGAGAAAATCACCGAAATGCGAGGCACAGGGACATCCGACCAACAGAGGTAGTGCTGCCAGAAGGGGGCTGCAGTGAGCACTGGCCCGCAGTGGGACGGGGCATGGGGACCCAGCTTTGCCTCTGGGTTTCCAGGGATGTGTGTGGACAGCCAAATGCTCTTTCTCAGAAATAATTCTCTCCTATGTCCAGACAGCAGCCCTCAATGGCAACACACAGCCGGTCTTCTCAGATGTGAGGGTACCTCCCAGAAGGACCCTCCCTCAGTCCCGGCTGCACAGGGGCTCCATCCAGAGCGACGCCACGTGTAGGGCCACGGGGTGCCTGCAGAAGTAACGGCAGGGTCCCACAGACACCCCTTCAAAGGAAGCTGAGAGAACCCTGACACCTACCCCGTGTGGAGATGTGTCACTGAACACGACACCCCAGGACAGACTGGGCCCCACAGCTCCTCCCCCAGGTGCCCCGACCCCGCTCACCCGGGGACAGCAGAGCTTCAGCAGGTTGATGGTCTTCCCACAGACGTACACGTCGTGGGCAATGTGCTTCAGGAACACAGGCACACAGTCCTCCACCTCTTTGGAGATGAGCACATAGCCATGGGTCCAGTAAAACTTGTCTAAACGTGGAACAGAACACGGAGTGGCCTCCAGTCAGTGCTGTCCCTGTCCCATAGATGTGGAGGCCCAACCCAAGAGACTGTGGTCACCTACCTCTGAAACCAAGGTACTCGTGGTTCACCTGGATCATGAACTCCCCATACACGTCTCTGAAGACCCCGCTGTACACCCAGTCATGAATGAACCTGCCATAGCATCGGGGTGCCAGGGGTGAGTGGACATGGTATAACATGGACAGGCAATGCCAGCGGTGGGTAGGCGTGGGGTGAGTGTGCCCTCCTCCCTAGTGCACCCACCACTTGAGTCCACTCACCCTCCTGCCTCACGTGTGGCCAAGAAAGCTCCCAAACACCACTTGATCTGAACACAGCCCTGCCCTACCTGCCCCAGAAGCCCGGGCCCACCTGCCACGCAGCACACCCACCGTGTATAGGGCTCACAGCTTGTCTTCAGCAGGGACAGCAGCACAGGGTAGTGCTCATTGCTGCAGTTGTCCAGGGCTTCCTGGTAGAGGTAGGACAGGAGCTTCACCCCCTGCACAAAGGAGCAGACGCAGGCTCAGCAGCAGTGCCTGGAGCCCTGCCTAGGTGGGCAGCAGCACCCGGAGCCACTAGCCAGCCCCCACCCCCGGAGCTGACCAGGCCCCCACAATCAGCAAGGGGGCAAACTCACGGTAGGGAATGCATCCCCGGGCTCTCCTCCGCTGGACCCAGGGAGCACAGTGCCAACACCACAAAGCTCAGCCAGGTACCTAGGCCCAGAGGCTAGATCAGACCAGGTGATAGGGCTCAGGTTCCCAGGCTAGGCTTAGACCAGGTGACAGTCTCAGGATCCCCAAGGCTAATACCAGAGCAGGTGACGGGGCTGAGGTCCCTGAGGCCAGGGTCAGACTAGGTGAGTGAAATCCCTGCCCATCTTAGGCTCCTCTAAATGACTGGCCTGCCCAGGCTTTAAAAACCACTCATACCCCATCTACCTACAGCTGAGCTTTCTGCCAGACCAGTCCAGGAGCCTATGCCTATGTGTCCACCCGCATCACTACACACCCATGCCTGGATGCAGCCACCTCCCCACTCCATCCCAAGCCCACGATTCCCTCAGTTCATGCCTATGATTGCCAAGACCCCCTCCTGCCTTCTCCCAGCCTGGCCCAGGTCACCACCCCCTGGGGCCTGATGACTGCCGAGACCCCCACAGGCCCTTCGCCCTCTCTGCCCAACTGCTGCTCTGCTCCACCTGACGCCCCCAAGGACCAGGCCCCGCCCTCCCCCCACAACCCCACTCCCTGCTGTCGGGAGGGTGTCTTTCTCGGTGAGGCCTCCACCCCTCTTCTTCAGATAGCACTAGCCACAGACACTTGCCTGGCTTTTTACTAACAGGCTTGTGAGTCCCAGAGGCCACGTCCATGGACCCGTGTACTATTTAGGTGGGAACCCCCAAACCTAGGCAGGGTGGACGTGGGTGTGGTGGGTGGACGGCAGCACCCAGTGACACCTAGCACCAGTGGGCCAGGGACACTTGGTTACCTCCTGCGATTGCTCTTCTGGACCTTGCTGGGGGGAGCTCACTGTGCTCCCCAGCACAGCAAGCAACTAGCTCCCTGCAGCAAGTCCCATGCTACCCCCCAAGTCTCCAGGCACGTGCAGAGCTTCACCTGAGCTGCCGGCCCAACTTCTTAAAGAGAAAGCCAATGGTGAGGAGGCTGAGTGTGGGCGGGGTGGCGAGGACGCAGGCCCGGTAGTACTGCAGGTACCGCCTCAAGCCGCTGGTGAAGGCCTGCAGGGGAGGCGAGGAGGAAGGTCTGCACGCAGACTGAGCCACCACCCGGTTTGGAGAGCACATGGCTCTGCTTCCAGACCCATCCTGTGCCCACCTCCCAGGCAGTGCCACCTATCAGCTCAACCCAGCTAGAAGTAGGGATATGCACAGGACGGCCCATCACATGCCGGGCCTCAGCCAGGCTCCACCACAGTCGCCAGCTCTGAGGCCCCAGCAGTGTGGCCCTGAGTCACCCAGACAGGACAACCTAGAACCACCACCCCAGGAGCCACCTGTCTTGTCAACACATGCCAGATGGTCAGGAGCCCTAGCCACCCCTCCTGCCCCTCAGAGGCCTGGGTGTCCACCATAACCCATTCTCTACACCCTGAAGCCCTGCATCCCCTCGGGTCCCATGCTCACTCCCTCCTACCTGGATGGACTTCCCCATGCAGCTCCCGTGCACTGCCTCCCAGCCTACAGTCGGAAAGCTGGCCTCAGTGTATCATCTGTCCCTCATCAGAGCTTGAAGGGGCCACGTGGCCCAGTCCCCCCAGGCTAGGCCCTGCCCCACCTCTTCCTGCACCTGCCCCTCATCTCTCCTAGCACCCAGCTCTTGTGTGCACCTGTGCTCACCCAGCTCAGGCCACACCTGTGGTCCGGTGGGATTCTACCAGGACCTAAGCTGGATGCAAGTCTTCAGCAAAACAGCAACTCCCAGAAGCAGACTTGGCTCAGGACCCAAGCCCCTTGAATGTCAACTCCTCAAAACAGGAGAAGTGCCGCTGGTGCTGTACCACTGGGAACAGGTGACTCAGGCCCCACTGAGTTGCTGCTGGTACCTGTCTGGCTTGCCCCACAGCACCTGGTGTTGCCCCCAGCCCCCAAACACTGGCCACACCTACCTCCGGCTAGCCTTTGGCCCAAACTCATCTGCCCCAGGGTTCCCGTGGAAGAATGGATAAGTGATACCTCACCCCAGTCACCCATTCCTGGGAAGGTCTGGACGCGGTGATCCTGGAGTAGGACCTGAGGATGCCTAGCATGATGGGCCCTGGGTTCCATTCCCAACATGGAAACAGTACCCAGAATACAATGTTCTCCTCAAGCCAATACCTGAAACACAAGGCCCCTGCTGCAGGAGGCGCCCAGCACGGGCTGCAGGGAGAAGTGGCTCAGGCGTGTGTAGCAGGTCCCATACTCAGCCACCTCTGACAGGATACTGCTGATGCTCTCGGGAGAAGCCCCTGACACGTGGACACCCCGCTCCACAACAAAGGCCTGAGAGAGCTACAGGATGAGAGGTGGAGTCAAAGCCAGGCATCTAGACCCCTAGCGTGGGCACCCAGCCACATACCACCCAGAGCCCCCCAGGACCAAGACACACAAGCAGAAGTTCCAAAAGTGAAAGGAAAATGGCCCAAACACACCCACTTGTGTGTATTTATTATATACCATAACAGCATATGGTCTTTCACTGACCACACTTAAAATTACGTGTTCAAGGGGCTGGGGTTGTGGCTCAGCGGTAGAGCGCTTGGCTAGCATGTGTGAGGCTCTGGGTTCGATCCTCAGCATCACATAAAAATAAATAAATAAAATAAAAGTATTGTGTCCAACTACAACTAAAAAAAAATGTTAAAAATGGGCTGGGGATGTGGCTCAAGCGGTAGTGCGCTCGCCTGGCATGCGTGCTGTCTGGGTTCGATCCTCAGCACCACATACAAACAAAGATGTTGTGTCCGCTGAAAACTAAAAAATAAATATTTTTTTAAAAAAAAACACAACACTTAAAAAAAAAAAAAAAAAGTTAAAAAAAATACATGTTCGGTTTGGGGTTGTGGCTCAGTGGTCAAGTGCTCAACTGGCACCTGTGAGGCACTGGGTTCGATCCTCAGCAACACATAGATTTAAATAAATGAAATAAAGGTGTCGTATCCATCTACAACTAAAAAAATAAAAATTAAAATAAAATAAAATTTAAAAAACATGTTCAAGGGCTGAGGCTGTGGCTCAGTGGTAGAGCACTTGTCTAGCATGTGTGGGGCACTGGGTTCAATTCTCAGCACTGCATATAAATAAAATGAATAAAATAAAGGTCATCAACAACCTAAAAATATACATTAAAAAAAAGCCCATCTTCACAGTTCCAGCTGTGGAAAGGGCGCAGACAAACAGCCCCTCCACACAGTACCAGAAACACACACAAGCCAAGGCCAGCGGCACACACTCAGCCCCAGCTGTCTGGGAGGCCGAGGCAGGAAGAGCATTGTCTTTTACGTCTAGTCCAGCCTGGGCAACTTAGTGAGACCCCATCTCAAAAGAGAAAGAGTCAAGGGTCAATAAAAACAAAAATAAATAGATAAACTCCACTGCTATCATCTGAATGAGGAAAAAAATAAAGGGGACAACCTTCTGGGGCAGACCCAGCTCTGAGGCTTCCCCTGGCTCCCAGGGGTCAGTGCAGAGAAAGTAACAAGATGAGTCACAGCACCTCCTACAAGGCTGCTGACAAGGACGGCCGTGGGAGACCCTGTGCAGCGCTGGGAGGGGCGAGAGCCGCAGAGAGCCGCAGAGGCCCCGTCAGCCCAGGCCGGCCAGTGGCCATGCGGCACACCTAGGGAGGCTAGGCAGCAGCTGAGCCAGAACCAGCAGGAGCAGAGATGACAAAGACAAAGGCAGAGATGAAACAGAGAACAGAGCCAACCAGAGCAAACGCTGGCTCTTTGAAGAGACCAACAACTGAGGAACCTTCACCTAGAATGAGTGAGGGAGAAAGATGTTGGGGGGCTGGGTGCGGTGGCCACACCTATGATCCCAGAGACTCGGGAAGCTGAGGCAGAAGGACTGCAAGTTCAAGGCCAGCTTCAGCAACTTAGCAAGGCCCTGTCTCAAAATAAAAATTAAGAAAATAAATAAATAAATGCAATGAAATGAAAAAATAAAAAAAGGACTGAGAATGTAACTCAATGGTAAATCACGTTGCAGTGCAACCCCAGTATAAAAGAAAAGGACAGCCTGTGCAACTTAGCAAGACCCTGTCTCAAAAATTACGGAGGGCTGGGCATGCAGCGCAGTGGTAGGGCTCCTACTGTCAGGGTACGTGAGGCCCTGGGTTCAATCCCCAACACTGCAAACACATAAAAAAAAAATCAAAATAAAACAAAAGTTAACTCATTGCAGATGTGCAGAAACCTCAAGAATCCACAAAGAAGCAACCAAGGGAAAAAAACTCATAAACCGCAAACTCCAAACATTACTAAAACAAACTAAGAGCATAAATGGAAAGATATCCCAGGTGTTGCAGAAAGAGAAAAACTATACAAAAATTCATCTGCAATCTTAAAGGACCCCAAGTTGCCAAAATGGTCTTGAAAAATAACAAACTGGGGGGCTGGGGATGCAGCTCCATAGTGGAGCACTTGAGAGGCCCTGGTTTCCATCCCCAGAACCACAGATGCACAAAACGCAAGCTGCCGGACTCAAACATTTCCCCAGTTCAAAAGCTCCAGTCAAGCTCAGTCCTTGACACAGCAGACAGGCATGGCGTGAAGATGGGCGTGTAAACCAGCAACAGATTACAGAGTTCAGAAACAAATGCACACAAAAATGGAGTTCAGAAAGCAAAGTTTGAGTGACAAGGAGGTGCCAAGACCATTCAACAGGGATGAGACAGGCTTTTTGACAAGAAGATGCTGGACAACTGGATGTCCAAGGCAAAGAATGAAGCTGGCCTCCTGTCATGGGAGTGGAGGAAAGGGGGTGAAGCATTTCTTCTGTCTCACTGAGAGTCTGCAGAGCTAACCTTCCCTGCCACCCACTGCACTGACCTACCCCACCCCTGGACGTGCTCTAAGTGTGCCTGGTAGAGGGCAGGCTGCCAGCAAGCAATAAGCTGGCCCCATGACTGCTAGGCCTTCTTACCTGGCAGAGGGAGAACGTGGCGGACACCACCCCAAGCAGGACGTTCAGCGAGTCCTTCACCAGCTCTTGCTCCTTCACCAACATGGGCCTTGGGGCCTGCAGGAGGCCCCCACTGAGCGCCTGAAGCTCACCTTGGCGGAGCCTGCAGAACCTGTCAAAGGCGTCCCTTCCCGCTTCAGTGAGGTAGGGCTCCTCTTTGTGGCCAGGGGGGCTGCAAGGGAAATGGAGGAAAAGATGGTGAACAGAGGGGCAGCAGGCATCTTAGTACCCTCCCACCGAGGAGCAGGTTCATCTGACAAAGGGCCAGCGCGAAGGCCATCAACTACCAGCCTCCCCTCAGCCTCCACTTAGCACTGGAGCACAGCCCTGACCTCCACAGCGTGTCTCCCCAGCCTGTCCTGGGACAACAGCTAGGGCCACCAGAGCACCGTGGTCCTCAGATGGCAACTCACTATGATGCGTTTCTTAAACCAATCACAAGGCTTATGCATCCATGTTGACTCACAAAGCATCATCCACGACAGCCAAAGGCAGAAGCCACTTCTGCATTCAACCAAGACAAGGGGAGAAACAAAGCACAGCAAAGCACACAATGGAGCGTCCCTCACCCTGGCATGCCAGAGCACACGGGGTGGAAGACACTGCTGAGGGCAGCACAGGTCACAGAGTCAAGTCCAGGGAATCCCACTGACAAACCCCCACAGCAGTCAAGGCCTAGAGCCAGGGCAGTGGGAGCGGCCAGGCCTGGGGGCAGGAGTCAACGGGAGGAGTGTTTCCGTGTGCAAGATGGAAGTTGTGCTCACTGCACAATGGTGAATATACCTAGTACCACAGAACTGGACACTTAAAAAAAGGTGAAGACTCTTCTATGACCTACGTTTTACAACCTCTCCAAACACACCACATGGGATGGAAACAGTAACAACCCATCTAGTTGCTGAAACAGAAGAGGTAGGTGGAAACAGTGGGAGGAATGCACAGAGTCAGACACTGCCAAGAAGCACGTGAACAGCCAGGCTCAGTGGCACAGGGCAGAAAGATCCTGAGTTCAAAGCCAGCCTCAGCATTTTAGCCAGGCCCTAAGCAACTCAGTAGGACCCTGTCTTTAAATTATACAAAGGGGCTGAGATGAGGCTCAGTGGTAGAGCGCCACTGGTTCAATCCCCAGTACCAAATAACAAGACAAGTGTGAGAAGGTAACTGCTGCCAGTTTAAAATAGGGTGCACACTGTCCTGTAAACCCTCACCTCATCCTCACCCTCTGAGAACACCAAGCACGCACACACACTGCACAACACCAAGCACACCCACACACTGCACAACACCAAGCACGCACACACACTGCACAACACCAAGCACACACACACACTGCACAACACCAAGCACACACACACACTGCACAACATCAAGCACACACTGCACTCCACCCTGCACACCACCCACACACACTACACTCCACCCTCACACCACACACACACAACACTCCACCCTGCACTCCACCCACACACACTGCACTCCACCCTGCACACCACACATAAACACTGCACTCCACCCTCACACCACACATACACACTGCACTGCACCCTGCACACCACACATACACACTTGCACTCCACCCTGCACACCACCCAAACACACTGCACTCCACCCTGCACACCACACATACACACTGCACTCCACCCTCACACCACACCCACACACTGCACTCCAGCCTGCACACCACACATACACACTGTACTCCCGCCCTGCACACCACACACCCACACACTGCACTCCTTCCCTGCACACCACACTCACACTGCACTCCACCCTCACACCACACCCACACACTGTACTCCACCCTGCACACCACACATACACATTGTACTCCCGCCCTGCACACCACACACCCACACACTGCACTCCTTCCCTGCACACCACACTCACACTGCACTCTTCCTGCACACCACACCCACACACTGCACTCCCTCCCTGCACACCACACACCCACACTGAGCACCCTCCCTGCATACCATACATACACCCTTACACTTAAAGTAATCAAGGACGCAGTTTGAGGATTGGGGAGGTGTTCAGTGTAAAGCACTGCCAGGCACGCATTGGAGCCTGGTTGCAGCCCAGCTCTGTGTGTGTGTGTGTGTGTGTGTGTGTTGTTTTCCTGTGGTGCTGGAATGGAACTTCCCAGGGATGTGATAAACACAGAGAAATTGGCTGTCCCGGACCCTGAGAAACCTCAGCCTCAGGGCCAGTCCTGTGGCCCAGCAGCAGGCCCCAGGCTGTAGACCAGTGCTGGCTTTCAGGGCAATCAGAAGGGGGAGCAGCCCTTTGTGGGGTCTCTCTGAGGCTTGAGCCCAGGGCCCTTTACCACTGAGCCATATCCCCATTTTTATTTTTCATTTTGAGACAAGAGTCTCACTAAATGGCTAAAGCTGGCTTCAAATTTGCAATCCTTCCTTAGCCTCCTGAATTGGTGGCATTACAGATGTGTGCCACTGTGCCTGGCTCTAGTGGTCTTAAGGCGAGGGCAGAGGGTGTTTGGGTGCTGGTGGAAGAGATCTCTCTCTGGCTCAGCAGCAGCTCCTTCAACCACCTGCTCAGAGCTCACAATAGGAATTTAAAACCAAACAAGAGGGGCTGGGGAGGTTGCTCAGTGGTAAAGCTCCATCTCGTGTCTCCTAGCAGTGAGAGGACCCTGGTCCACCCCCAGCACCACAAAATAAATAAATAAATAAATATAAACAAGACAGATTTGCCACAAAGTTGAATCACAGACTGATTCATGGTCCCAACAGAGGCCGTGCCAGTGGCTGTGCACTGGGACAACAACAGTGCCTTCGCCTCCCTGGGGTCCCTTCAGCTGCTGCCCAGGCTACATCAGCACTCTGTTAGGTACACCAACGCTTCGGGCAGTGAGCTTGCACAAGTCTACACTGCCTCAGCGTCCATGGGAATGCACGTTGGACGTTCTCGCACCAGAAGCAGGGCTCAGCCCCTGACGGTTCCCAGTTCTGCACCTCCTCCCAGCTCTCCTGCGGCCCACCTAGATCTCTGCCTCATATGGCTGCCCCTGATGACCACCTCCCCATGGGTCAGCTAGATGAGGCCTGCTTGGGCCGCCCACACCTCACCCTCACACCTGCAAGGACTGTAGACCTGCTGCAGTGACCACCTCTTGCCTCCACGTGACTTCCTGGAACTCTGTGCTTGATCTGGACGCCCAGTTAAAACTGCCTGTGGGAAATCTGTTTGGATAACACTCTGGGCCTGATAGAGGCATGGGCCCATGCCCCCCCAAGTCCTGGACCTCCATGCGTGGCCGCCGGGTAGGCTGTGTACCTGGGGGCCTGTGTGTGATGGAATCTTTATTCCATCTTGTGTCTCCTAAGCACTGAGGTGGGCCTCTCCCATCGTAAGACCCATTAAAACAACTCAGAAACAGGTGACAGTGTGTCTGTCATCCGAGCTACTTGGGAGGCTGAGGGGGAGAATTGTGGGAGCCCAGGAGTTCTAGGCTAGCTGGGATAACAAAGCAAACCGTGTTTTACACACTACCACTAACCCTAATCACCTGAGGAACATCAGTTCTCCTCACTGGAAAGACCACCAGGGTGCCCCTCAGCACTGGAGCACTGCAGGCACACAGACAGGACCAAGGGCATTCCTAACAGGGTGACACACAAATCAGGACATGATCATGCTTCCTAGACAGCAACCAGAACACTCCAGACAAAGTGCCATTATTCGCACAAGGAGGCAATAACCATAGAACCAATTTTTAAACATGCAAGGGGCTGTCAGAGAGCGGGACCATCCGACTTGTTTTGCACATACAAGGAGACAGGACTGGAAGCCTAGAGAAAAGTGACAGGACCCAGAAGCCCCTTAGAACAGCACTGTGCTGGGAAGCAAGGAGGAATCCTCCTGGCGCAGATGACCACGCTGGGAAAGTTCTCCCTTGGAGGCAGTGTCCTGGCACAGGGACACTGAATGATTGCCCCCAGTGACATGCTCCTCTCCAGGAGAGCCTGCAGGGGCCCAGACTCTGTATCAGACAGCTCACAGCTCCTCCAGCCCAGACTCTTCTGTTCAGTGCTCCCCAACTGGTCTCCCAGACTGACCCACAGACAGGGTGTGATGAGGGATCTGCAACAAACATTTGGGGAAAGCACACCCTCTACACCATCCTGGGGGTTTTCACCAGGTACCATCGAGAACCTTGAGAGGACCTCACTGCAGAGGCTCTGGGCCCTGAGAAGCCCAGGGCACAAGTGACCACTCTGCCCAGGGAGCAAGCTGCCAGCACCAGTCAGAACATCCAGCAGCACAGAGTACTCCTCCCAAGGCTTCCAAATGTGGACGAGGTTCCTTGTCTGTACACCCTGCTCAGGGAGCATCTCCTCCCAGCACCTACCACACAGCCTGCCAGGTGGCCCCAGACACCTGACGAGCAGCCCTGGTGGTAAGGACGTACTACTAATCTGGCTGGAAGGCCTGGTCTGCAGAGGTCACTGGCACAGTAGGAACCTCGCTTTCCCTCTGCATCTCTCTCAGACACGGGTACATCAGTATTGTAGAGACTTCCTGATCTCAGCCCTCTGGGGTTAGACCACAGCACACCCTGAGGCTAGGCTGATGTGGGGTGGGTAGGTCATGCATTTTTTTAAAAAGAATATTTTTAGTTGTAGATGGACAGTTTTGTTTATTTCGTTTTATGTGGTGCTGGGGATCGAACCCAGGGCCTCACACATGTTAGGCAAGTGCTCTAACACTGAGCTACAGCCCCAGTCCTGGGTCATGCATTTAAAGGCAAAGAAAGCATCACTCACCATCCCACTCGCTCCCAGCACCTCCGCTTGCTGGGCTCATATGTGAGGGCAGCTTCCCACAGGTCCACATCTGGGGTCATGCTTGGTTCAGACTGAGAATCAGGAGTCAAATTGGATGCTGACTGGAACCCTTCATCTTCCCACTGATCCACACTTTGAGGGACCTGGAGATCACAGGATAAAGTCAACCATCCCTATTACTTTTTGTCTGCATTCTCCAACTATGACAGAATTCCCGGAACTTTACCTACATCTATTCACTCACTAGAAGGACAGACCTTGCAAAAGGTCTCTTGTATTTTTCTTTAGCATATTTTTATTACACAACACCCCCCACCCCATGAATCACCTAAAGAATTAAACAAAATCTGTTAAAGCTACCAATGTTGCTGGGCACAATGGAGCATGTCTGTAATCCCAGTGGTTTGGGAGGCTGAGGCAGGAGGATTACAAATTCAAAGCCAGCCTCAAGTAATTTAGCAAGGCCCTGAGCAACTTAGTGAGACTCTTGTCTCAAAAAAAAAGAAAAAAAACCCAGGCTGAGGATGTGGTTCAATGGTTAAATGCCCCTGGGTTCAATTCTTGATACAAAAAAAAAAAAAAAAACTACCAATTTCCATTTTCACATAGCACATAGTCTCAATATAATTTTCTGACCCGGAGATTCCATTTTGGAGAAGCCAGTAAAGAAAATCACAGTAGATGAAGTTACATACATCAAGATGTTTGCTACAGCATTATTTATGTTTGGCAATAACCTCAACAATTTACAGTAAGGGAATGACTGAAGAGTAACAGTGTATCCTTTACCACCACTTATCATAATACAATAAGATGCAAAAGCAAATGACAATTTACTCAATAATTGGAAAAAAAGTCCCCACATTATAACACAGAAAGTATATCAAATAGCATGAATACCATAAACAAATATCTTTGCCACATGTAGCTGAATTCTTGAAATATGGTTTGTGAAACTCAACAGAAATTCTCCTACTTCATTTTCATTAATTTTAATTTAAACAGCAGGTCTTAAGGGCAGAAGAAACAACATACCCTGTTCGGTAAAAGAAGAACAGAAGGTTGCCCAGGACGGTTGGTACCAGCAAGCCCTCTCCAGTAGTTCTGCCTCCCGACAGCTCAGCCCACCCATAACCTAGATTTGAGCTATCCCACCTTCACATGAGGAAAGAGGTTAGAAACATTTTGTCTTTTTCTTTTTTGGCACAGGGGATTGAACCCAGGGGCACTTTACCATGAAGCCACATCCTCAGTCCTTTTTATCTTTTTATTTTGAGAGAGGATCTTGCTAAATTGCTAAGGCTGGCCTCCAACTTGCCATCCTCCTGCCTTAGCCTCCCCAGCTGACAGCAGCAACCAGCACAAAGGCATTTTCTAAGCCCTTGTAGAGGTTAAGGAGAGAAAACACACTACCTTAATGGCCAGTCCAGAGAGGTCTGCACTATCTGGCACAGGGGGCAGGTCTAGTCGCACATCCATGTCATAAGTGCGACTGTGCACAAGAGCACCGAAGATCGAGATGCGGGTTTCTCTCTCAAACCTGTCACCACAAGGGTCACCGAATGAGAAGAGCCCTACGGTGGGCAGGCCAGTGCCTGGAGCAGCCTCCATCACTTGAAGCGTTTCCTGGACCATGCTGTGGCAGGAGTACTCCTCGCTGGCGATCAGGGACTGGACGTCCATCTCCAACAGCCGCAGGTCGCAGCAGTTGTAGCCGCCGTAGGGGACGTTCCGGCCCGCGTGCCTGTTGTGGCAGAAGTAGTCCCGTTTTCTCCGCAGGGTGCGTGGCGGGCCGCTCCCTGCCAGCTGAACCAGGAGGTCCAACGCAGACCCCAGCTCCACGAGTGGACAGCACGGGTCTGCCTCCAGCCCCTCCACCAGCTCCTCCAGTCGGTCAGCCTCGGGGCCCAGGCCGCCCACTCTCAGGTCGAAGGACAGCATGAGGACCTTGTTCCTCACGGGGAGCTTCGGGAGGTCGGGCTGCGGCTGCTGAGTCTCCTCTTGGAACAGGCTCGTGAAAAGGGCATTGTAGGCCACGCGCTTGAGGGTCTGCTTCGCCCTGCTCCGGGGCACGCCGCGCTGGCCCGGGCGAGCCGGGGCCGTTGGCAGGAGGGCCTCGCACAGGTCATCGAACAGCTGGGTGATGCCGGCCATGTCCGCGCTGCCCAGCTCGGGCCCCGCGAACGAAAACGTCGCCAGCCGCGGGCGTCCGCTTCGCGGTCTGCTCGGGAGCGGCCGCCCGGCCCGCAGCGCCTCGACTCCGCTCGCGCCCGCCGCTGCGACGTCACAGCCACGCGCCGGCCGAGAGCGCGGGCGCGCCGGCTTGCGTCACGGGCGGCCCCCAGCCCCCCCAGCCCGAGCCCTGAGCGCTCCGCGCGCTCCTGTCTGCGGCCGTGTCGGGGGACAGACGGCGCCCGGGGGTTCGACAAAGGAGCGGAGCCGGACTTCCTTTAACCGTTTACTAAGGGAGAGGGAGCGCGGGCGGCCGCACGAGGCCTCAGGCCGGCCGCGGGGAACGCCAGCTTCCGGCTCTCGGGGCCGGCGCGCGCGGTGCTTCCCGAGTGACAGTGGCCCGTCTCGGCCGATTTCAAGCTACCCAGAAGGGCGGCCCAGGTGGGGCGGCGGGGAAGGGGCGCGCAGTCGGCTGGCTCTGCGCAGCTGGTTCAGAGCCACCGCTGCCCAGGGCCTCACCGGCCACCTGCAGCATCTTCCACCGGGGCTCCAGCTGCGCTCTCAGGTGCAGCAGGGCCTGGATATCCTCTGGAGAGGCCATCAAGAAAGGGCCTAGGTTGGGAGGTGCCTCTCCGTGCAGCACGCGGGCCAGCGTGCTTGCCAGCTGGGGTGTGGATTCCTGGACCGGGCCAGATATGGGGCAGTGAGCCACTGGTTTCTCTCCAGGCACCTTCTACCTCAGCGTTTCCACCAAGCGCAGCTTACCTCCCCAATGAGGGCCAGGACTCGGCCCCCTGCTGGCCCACGAAGCATTGCAGCCAGGAGAGCAGCATGGGGGTTCTGCAGGCCATGGGCAGGCCCCAGTGCCACCAGCACCAGGTCAGGCTGAAAGCCATAGGCCAAGGGCAGCACCAGACCCAAGACGCAGCTCAGGAACCCTCCAGTCGTCTGTGGGGAAAGCAGCAAAACCCCAACCCCCATTCTAGGGGTCACTCCTGCTGGCTTCTGCCATCCCACCTCACAAACTCAGAGTCCCCAGAGTGTGAGTATGAAGCCAAGAAGGGCCAGGGGCCTGTTGGCTCTCCTGACAGGGCTGCCCACCATCACAGAACCACTCACCCTTGGCAGTGGTGTCGAGATGTGAAACATGGATGAGGCAACTGCCTCCTTGCCCCCAATGTTCAGCCACAGAATCCTCCTTCCAGAGAGAGAGCACCATGGACAGGTGCATATGTGTGAGACCCTGCTCAGCTCTCCTAAGCCCAGACAGCAGAGGGGAGCTCTGGGAGGAGTGGAGCAGGGGCACTGTAACTGCCAACTCTCCTGGCCTAGCATTGCCCCACAGACTCCCTTCCCAGACTAGTTGTGGAAGGCTCCATTCTTTCTGGGGTTTTTTTTGTTTTGATTTTTTTTTATATATAAGAAGGATTGAACTCAGGGGTACTCAACCACTGAGACACATCTCCAGCCCTATTTTGTATTTTATTTAGAGACAGGGTCTCACTGAGTTGCTTAGGGCCTCACTAAGTTGCTAAGGCTGGCTTTGAACTGCCTCCACCTCCCTAGCTGCTGGGATTGCAGGAATATGTACACTACCGCACCTGGCTGGAAGGCCCCATTCTATACTGCATGGTACCCTGCCCACCAGTCACCCCAGGGGACCTAGTTGCACGCCTGCCACTTGACCATCCATATGTGCAACTGGACAGATGTGCCATCTGGACCATACCCGTCATCAGCAAGGTCTGGAGGCCAATCCAGCTGTCCCAGGGCCACACAGAACAACCTGAGGAAGAATCCACCCAGCATAGGCTGTGCATATTGCCCAGTCTACTCCCAGAGCCCTCACCACATGGACCCTGCCCTTGGGGTATCAGCACAACCAAGAGAGGCTCACCTCTGGGCTCTATGGCACAGAGCTCGCCTAATGGCCACATCCAGGATGGCTTCTGCAGCAGAGGCAGGGGTGGCTGTGATGCCACTGCTCACCTGTGGGAAGAAAAAATAGACAACAGTGATGGGTGCAGCCCCAGCCAACTCCCAAACTAGGTCCCTGCCTATACAGCTCTCATCAGTCCTCCTTCATACCACATCTGTCCGCGTCCATAAACAAGGTGCTTGAAACTGCACTTTCAAGCCCAATAGTTGCAATGCCTATACTTTTAGCTACTCAAGAAAATGAGGCAGGAGGATCATCATAAGTTCAAGGTCAGCTGGACAACAGCAAAACCCTGTTTCAAAAATAAAAAGGGCGGGGGGTATAGCTCAAAGAGAGAGAGCTTACCTAGCAAGTATAAGGCCCTGGGTTCAATCCCAAAAGCTGGAAAGAATAAAAAGTCATCCACTTCCCCTCTCTGCCAAAGAATATTTCTGATAATAATCCCTACAAAGGGTAATGTGTCTGCACTGCCTCCTCTGGACAAGCCATGCCTCAGACCCAGTCCCCAGATCCAGGTACCCCCCAGCCTCTCAGCAACCCTACCTGCCCATCCAGGATCCTATCGAAAAGGTACAGGAGCTTCCCAAGTGCATCAAGGGCCTCATCCTGGGCTAAAGACCTGTATAGTCTGTGATAGGCCAGAGGGACACATGGACACCAAGTGACAGTGCATCAGTCATATGCACATGCATGTCCTCAGCCCTCTCCCTGGGCCCATCCTGCACACCTGGCCCAGGCTTCTGTCTCCTCCCTTGGTGCTGAGCCCTCCTGACACAGCACACCAGGGGGCAGGGGCAAGGTGGCATCTGGCACAGTCAGGGCAACGGCCGTGCGGATAGGGGGTATGGGGCAGAGGTGCAGCGGGTCCAGAAAAGAGCTCAGTGTAGTTGCTGCTGCCTCGCATGTGGGTCCTCCAGGCAGCAGAGTTGCAAGTGTCCCGTCTGGGGAGTGGCTGCCAGGACTCAGCACGGTGGCCACATCTGGAGGAGGTTCAGAGTCATGGCCACTGCAGAGGAGTGTGAGGTGAACCCACCAGCCCAGACCACACTGACCTTGCTTTTGGAGGCTCATCCAGTAGGGGGCCTGGGTCATCCGGACACTGTGGATGGACTCCAGCGCACTGTGGGGAGAAGCACGGCCATGGGCCTGACTCATACCTAGCCTCTCCCACCCTCCAGCCCTTCATACCTCCGACATGGCACCATAGGCCCGGACAGCGGGGGTACAGGGTCACCCAGCAGTGCCTGTACCATCATGCACACTGACTTGGCCAGGGACTCCAGGTGGTAGCCACCCTGGGAGGGTGGAGACAGGATAGAGGAAGGGTGTCACTGGGGTGGGTAGCTCTCCCAGACAGGTGCCCCACAAGATTGTGTCTTGACCTGGCTCCCATACTCCTGAGTATTAGGCATCCTCCCAGCTGCCCCCAGTTACCTCCAGCACGGCACAAACCCGGCCATTGGCCAGCACCTGCAGCAGCTGTGTGAGGTGGGCGAAGCACTCTGGTGTGGCCCGCATCTGCCCCTGGAACCAGAGCCATGTATGATGGGGGCCTGAGTCCAGGACCCCAGAGGCCCTCCTCAGCCAGACCAGGCCTCACCTCAGGGTCCCCAATGGCTGAGTCAAATCCTGCTGAGACCAGCACCAGCTCAGGGTCAAACTGCAGGCAAAATCAGGTGAGGAAGAGAAAGAGAGCGGCTGGAGCCAGGGAAACCTCCATGAGCTGCCTGCCCACTATTCATGTCAGTCAGAGACCCTCCCTACCCACCGGGGATCTGCTCCTACACAGGTGAAGCGGATGACAACCCTCTTCCTCTGTGGTGGAACTATGAGCAGGCATGGGTCATCTGCCCTAGAGAGCCCCCACCGAAAAGTCACCTCGAAGGCCAGTGGTAGCAACGTGTGCAGGAAGGCAGCCAGGTAGTCAGCGTTTCCCATCCCAACCTGCCTCGGGTGCAGGGAAGAGGTGTCAGTGGGCAGCCCTGCCAATGGGGACTTCAGGGTCTTACCCGCTGGATCCCAGGCTGTAGAAAGTATGGCAAGACGGCCCAGAGCTGTGGGGCAGGGGAGAGGTGCAGACTGGGAGGTGGGCTGGGAGCAAGTTCTGGGTGTCAAGGGCAGGTACCTGGTTCCAGGGCAGGTTGACAGTGAAGCCTCGCCCCTGCCCCCTCCCTACTGCATCTACGTTGGATTCTTGCAGAAAGGGCCAGAAGTGCCCATGTTCATAGCGGTGCCAGGAGAAGTAAAGGACACTGCAGACAGTGTGCAGGGTCAGAAGTCAGGAAGCTTAGCAGCTCCACAGCTCCTTAAAGAACACTGACCCCTGCACACATGGCCAAGTCTCCCCCTTGGATTTTCCCAAGTCAGTCTGCACTCCCTCAAAAGTGGAGTTGCAGGCTGGGGTGTAGCTCAGCTGTAGAATGCTTAGCATGTGCAAAGCCCTGGGTTCCATCCCCAGTATTTAAATAAATACATAAATGGGGCTGCAGGAAAGTGTCATGTCCTCACCTACAGCTCACCTGGGATCATCTTCAAATATATACTGAATACCCTGGCCATGGTGGACATCCCAGTCAACAATGAGGATCCTGAAATCAGACAATGCTGGGGTCACTACAGGGCAGGGCCTCCCACCTCCAGGCCAGAAGCCCAGCCAGGGTTGGGAAGGGAATGGGTAGGGATTTTCTGCCACCTGCTCCACCCTGCACAGCTCGGCACCCACCTGTGCAGCCCGTGTTTCCACTTGGCATGTTCAGCTGCTATTGCCACATTGTTGAACACACAAAACCCATTGGCAGCTGCCCTTTGGCTATGGTGCCCAGGAGGCCTGGAGGGTGAGAGTGGGGTCATTCTGTCCTCTCATGGAGCCAGCCAAAGGGAATAGCCAGGTGAGGGGAACAGCTCTCACCTCACTAAGGCCAGCCCATTGTGTGCGGCTCCTGTCAGCACAGCGTCCACCAGCTGAAGGGCAGCCCCGGCAGCTAGCCGGGCACAGTGAAAGGTACTCTATGGGGGCAGGAATACAGATCAGCCCCCTGCCTTTGCAGAGCATGCTGCTGAGCAGAAAGGACCAGGCAGGCCCAGGGTGCCAGCAGTGAGCAGGAACAAGGGGATGCTGGCAGGTGGCAGCCACAGGTGTGAATGCACATAGTCGGTGGGTGTGTTAGATCTAGGTGGGTGGGTGCTGTACAGGGGGACGCACCGGGTGGAAGTAGACGGCATCGTACTGTCCAGACAGTACCTGGAGCTCCTCCTTGCTCAGGGCCTGAGTCCTCTGCACCAGGGCCACATATTCAGGGCTGCAGATGGCCAGTCAGGGAGGCAGGTCACCAGCAGGGGAGTGGGGTGGGGCCACAGGGAGTCCCTCCCAAGCTCCCTCAAGCCTTTGAGCAGCACCTCCACTGGAAGGTGAAGGTGAGGCACATGGGGAACAGGCTCCCTCTGGGAGGCCCTGAAGGCTGGGGCTAGCCCAGCTCTCTAGGTGGGCTCTCCTCTGACCTGTGCACCAGGCCCAGCTCCTCCTCCGAGGCCTCGCGGGCTACTAAGCGCAGGCACCTCTGCTCCAGGCCGTACTGCCGAAGGCCGTCCAAGGCTGCGGCCAAGCGCTCCGGACACTCGATCCTGCACTCGGGGCTGAAGTACACTGGGAGCTCAGTGTCCAGAGTCCCCTCCCTGTACCCACCTCCGCCAGCTCACACTTACTCGTCCCAGAGCAGCCGGCTGACCATCATATCCTCATGGTACACGAGTGCGGTCCCCATGGCTAGACTGTAGTCACTTTGGACCACTCTGATGTGGCACGCCCTCCGCTGGCTGGTGACCGCACTGTAGGTCCCCAACTTGCAAACTGGGAACAGCCCAACGCCTGGAACCCTCCTGAGACCAAGTTCGGCAGCGGGCACCGAGTCTGGGCATAAACACACAGGCCAGGCAGGCGCACCGAGGGAGCGCGGCCAGGGTTCAGCGTGGACCCCAGGGCCTGACTTCCGGCTTCCGAGTCCCGGACCCGCCCCCGCAAGCCCCGCCCCAGAGGGACCGGGCGGCCTAGACTTCTCGGCCTCGCCCCGTGGCTCGGCCGGCTCTCGGGCTCTAGAGGCACCTTCTCCCACCGCTGGGAGCCTGGGGAGGGTCCCCGCCCCCAAGCCCTTCTGGTGATGGGAGGGGTGTAGGGTGAGAGGAGAGAGAATCGTCCCCAGACCCTCCTGTGGACTGCCATTGAAGCCCCGCCCATCCGTCTGTCTTCTGCCTCAAATGTCCCCGGAACCCACTCCGAGCGCGAAGGACACACGGTCAGACGTGTTAGCGGCCCGCTGAGTCCAGTGCGGCTCCCGGCACCTGGCCAGGGCTCAGGGAAGAGTCGGTGTGGCCAAGGGTCCGTGGGCTCAAAGGGGGCGGCAAGTGGTTCAGGGACCCGACTCAGCTGGTCCTGGGCGGCATCAACGTGCAGCCCCACGGCAAGCTTCAAGAAGGAACTGCCAGAATCCGACCTAGGCTTCAGGAAGACCCCGAGACCATGAGTGGAAAGTCGTCGGGTCTGGGCTGAGGCGCAGACAGGACCGGACAGGGGCTGCAGCAGTGTCGGGTCAGGCAGGGCAGGAGGCTACAGGCGGGAAGCAGGAAGGGCAAGGATAAAAGGAGCCGCAGATGACCAAAAGGCGTGAGACTCAGAGCCACACGCAAAATCCAGGGGCCCTGGGGAAAGGGTCTTGGGGTGCTCAGAAGTGGGTGGTGCCAGGCCCACCCTGCCACACCTGGAGAGCTCATCCAGGCCCTGGGCCACCTAACTGGCACCTCCAGCCCTCCCTAGGACCAGCGCCACAGCCAGGGGTGAACACCGGCTGGTCACCTGGGAACAGGTGCCTCCTGCAGGTCTCCGCCATGCGACAGCCACAGGGACTGACCAGGTTTGAACCAAAGGCATGAGAAGGCCCTGGGGCAGAACAGGCGGGTGGCCTTGGTGGCAACTCATCTGACCCTATCTGCCAGAGCCAACTGTGCACCTGTCCACAGGAACTCCAGCAGTGGGAGAGGGACACCGGGCCCTCCATGGTCCACCCCACATACACCCCGGTTTGGATACATCTACAGGAGGGACAGTGTAGAGGAGCAAGAACAATCTAAGGAGCCCAGTGTGGCCTCTGATCTTGAGGCCTGTCCTAGGAGAATGGCCCACAGAGGGCAGCATGTGCTCGGGGATGCCCCCCGGGTGTGGCCAGGGGAGGAGCAAGAGACTGTCAAAGGGAAAGGGACCACCTCAGAGATCAGAGGTACCTCAGTTGGCATGCACATCCCCTTCCTCCCCAGGAGCCTCAGCCTTGGAGGGTGAAGGTAATTCAGCAGGGTCTGAGATCCTGGTGAGGTCCTAATATCCTTCCCATTGGCTGATCCTGCATCAGCCCTGCCCCCAACTGGCTCAGAATTTAAGCCTGAATAAAGACTAAGGTCACCCCACAAGAATGGAGGGGGCCAAGCCCTAATGTGGGGCTTTCGGTTTTGATACAGGGCTCGGAAGGTGGACACCAGTGATGTAATCTGTGGGGAGGCTGGGTGCTTGGACCCCGCAGGCTGGAGGGTTGAGCTCAGGATGCCACCTTTCTGTATGCAGGGCAGGAGTTTAGAAGTCTGAGGAGGGGCTCAGGCATCAGGCCACACAGCCAGAGTGGAAGGTCTACAAAAGGGTTTATTTCCTTCTGGCCAGATGGGCACACCAAATGTCTGGTTTACACTCCAGCTTGGGTTTGCAGGAGAATCCATGATGACCATCCCCAGGAGAGATGATGTCCCTGAGTCAAAGCCCACTGCCCTTCCTCTCCTTTTCTTGAGAGCTGACCTCTGCACAGTCCAGAGCAGGCAGGGCTCAGAGGCCAGCACTTGACCCTGAGCCATAACATCTCTGAGCTTTTTGCTGCGCCCTGTTGGAAGGGACTACTGCTCCAGAGCCCAAGGCCCAAGGCCAGCTATAAAGCCGACTGTCCCAGGGAAACAGGAGGTGATGGGAGTTTGTGTTCCATTCCAGGATAGGTAGAGGTACTGTGCAGACAGCGAAGATGCTCCAAGGTCACCTAAGGTCAAGATGCTCTGGGAGCACCCAAGAGCAGGGATACAGACGTGGGAAAAGAGGGAGTCCACTCACGGAGGGGGTCTACTCGGCCTCTCCAAGCAGCTGCCCTAGGATGTAAGTTCCAGGCAAGGCCACAGTGATAATCAGGATCCCTCCCAGTGAAGGGAGGCTAAGGCATGAGGCTCCCAGCCAGAGTTCTTAGCATATCCCTATGTCACCCAGGGGTCTTCACAGGGCCGTCTCCTTGGGAACCCTAGCACCCAGCTGCCTGGGAGGCTTGAAGCTTAGCACTTCTTTATAAGTGACACCTGCAGAGGGACAAGAGACAGACCAGACAGTCAGCCTCTGCTCTCACTGGAGGACAGAGGCCAGTACCTCATGGGGCTTTCTTCTTATCCTAACTAGGCCAGCCCACCTAGGGAAAGTCTGCATGAAAAAGCCGGCTGTCCCAGGGAAACGGGAGGTGATGGGAGTTCGTGTTCCACCCAGGGGCTGGGCCACGTGTCCTCCGTGGCCTATTGTAAAAGCAAAAGCTCCTAGCCACAGTGTATGTGGGCGGAAACCACAGAGAGGATCCTGAGGTCTATGGTTTTCGTGTTATCTTGTTTAGCACCAGAAACTTTTCATAAGCACATGAGAGCAGAAGGGTGGAGCTCCTGCTGAGGCACAGAGGAACACTGCATCCCTAAGCACTGTGATCTGGAAACCCCAGCCTGTCCAGCCCCTCCACCCCAGATTGCAGGACCAAAGCCCCAGGTCGAGGAGATCAATAGGATGAAGCTTGGCACTCAGTAGCACACCTTGGTGCTGGCATCAGACATTTCTGTCCCCCAGGCTGCATCTGCGAACAGCCTTCCAGGAGCAGGCAGGGGCTGGGGCTCAGTGGTATAGCACCTGCCTAGCACATATGAGGCACTGGGTTCAATTCTCAGCACCACATAAAATAAATCAATAAATAATAAAATAAAGGCACTGTGTCATCTACAACTAAAAAAAAAGGGAAGGGCGGCCCTCTGCGTAAGCGGACAGTCAGCACGTAGCTGACGGTGCTGAGCACAGCCTTGGAGAGCTGGGAGCTCCAGGAGAACTGCGGGGTGTCGAGGGGGGCTTTGGCCCTGGGGCCTGCATGGGGGTTGACTTTCCCTGCAGGCAGGATATGAAAAGTGTGCAGTTGTCCAGGTGAGAGGGGTCCTGAAACCAGCAAGAAGAGGTGAGAACCATTTCAAGAGTTGTGAGCGGAGAGGCCTGAGGACAAGCAGATGGATGTGGAGGGGCTCCAATTGGCAGGATCTCTGGCCTAGACTTGGGAGAGGCTAGGTAGCCCAATGAGGGAGGCTGAGCTAGCAGGCTTGGGGGCTGGGAGAGGCCAGGGGGCACTGCTGCCCTGAGCTCAGACCTGCTCTGCACAGCTCCTGGGATACATCCTGTGCCAACCTTTGTGTGGAGCCTCTGCCAGGAACACCCCTCCCCACGGCCTTCCGCCCTAGCCAGAGGTCACCCTGACCAAGTCCTACAGCCCCATGCTGCCCTCTGATCTCCTGTCCTCTTCCTCACTTGACCTGCAACCCAAGAACATAGGTTAGGGGCCCAGGGCACACAAGGCCCCAACACGGGCCCCATGGGGAACCCCACTCACGCTTCCACTCATCCAGGGTGCGGTCCACATCATCAAAGGAATCGTCATACTTCTGGGCCTTGGGTTCGTCCTCTGTGTCGTGCAGGGATTCAAAGTATGGGTGGGCCAGTGCCTCAGCCGCCGTCACCCGCTGCTCTGCATCCAGCACCAGCATCTTCTCCAGGAGATCCACAGCTGGGGGGGGAGGCATCAGGCCCACCGGGTTGCTTTGTGCCCCAGCACCCAGGACCCCCACCCAACTCAGACCTACCCAGAGGGCTTGCATTGGTCAGGACAGAGGCAAAATCCTTCTTCTCCAGCTCAGGGAGGCCCTTCATGTAGTTCTTAGCCTATACAGGAAGAATGGTGAGGGGCCAGCTCCCAGGCCCAGGTCCAGCTGGCCTGCCCACTCCCTACCAACCTCAGCACTCTGCAACTTCTGCACAAACTCAGCAGGAGGTGTCCCTGTCACCTTCATGATCTCCTTCAGCTGGTCCAGGTCTGCATGGAGGTCAGGAGCACAGCACAGGCCAGAGGGCAGGACCCATACAACCACCCACCTCCCCAACTTCATGATGCCCACTAGGGAGGATACGGTCGTTGCCCTTAAACAGTATCTTCCCTGTAATCATCTCCGCCATGATGCAGCCCACCGACCAGATGTCCACTGAGACAGAAGCTCTGTCAGTGCCCCGAAGGCAGGGGGACGAACAGGCACACGAGGGGCAGGGGGCATAGGAACACAGACACAGGGGAAGGTAGGAGGAGAACACAGACATGGAGCAAGGGAGGGCATGTGCACTCAGGCCATGCAGGTTCACCCTGCCCACAGCCTCCTGGGGAGCAGTGGCCATGGGGCACCCCAGGAAGAACCAGGTGGGAGACAGAGGCAGCATGGGTCTCCAGGCATGAAGGGAGGCCTCTCACCTGTCTGTGTGTAGCGCATCCAATTCAAGATGACCTCAGGGGCCCGGTACCACCGGGTCACCACATACCCTGTCATCTCACTGTCTGCTTGCCTGGCCAGACCAAAGTCCAGGATCTGAGGAAGAATTGGGGTGGGGCTGAGGGAACCCCTGAGAAGTGGACAGGCCACTGTTGCCCCGGAGATCCTAAGGGAGCAGCACTCAAAGCCTCCATCCTGGGACTCTGCCACTTCGCCTTGGACCCCAAGGTGCCTCCTTGTGGCTAATGCACCCAGCCTAACCCACCTCAGGAGCAGGAGTCACCCTGTTGACCTGTGGAGGGCCTTCACAGCCCTGCCCTGGGTCAGACATCAGACTGGGGACACCTGCCCTTCACCTAAGTAAGGATGAAGCGTGCTCAGTGCCTCCCCACCCGGTGTCTGTGGCCCCCACTGGTTGGCTTCTGCCTAGGTCTGAGGGACGTAGGTGGCCGGGCAGATGGAGAAGGAGCCCACCCTGCCCAGCAAACCTTCAGCTCACAGTCCTCGTTCACAGCCAGGTTGCCAGGCTTCAGGTCCTGGGGCAGAGAAAAGGTGGCCACTGTGTCCTGCCTGCCAGAGCAGGTACAATCCAAGGGCCTGGGCAGCACCTCGACTAGGGCCACCAGGCGAGGCTTGGCCGCTGGCCCCCAAAGACCTTCAAGGAAGAGTAGAGGGACGGGGCCCCAGGGCAGACTTCTGACAGGCTGTGCATGAGGTGTTGTGTGCACCTCCACATCAGACCACACTGCACCCACCTTACAGGTAAGAACCGAGTCCGGGATGAAACCCCTCTTGTGCCCACACAACTAGGGAGGGACAGTCAGGTGGCCTCCCACCCCTGCCAGGACTCACCCTGTGGATGACACCAGCAGCATGGATATACTGTGGGAAAGAGGGGGTCAGCTCACAGGCCCTCCGGGCCACCATGCCCTATTCCACCCACCTCCCTGCGGCCACCCTGCAGGCCTCACCCTCAGCCCCTTTAGCATCTGATACACCAGGAACTGGACTCGGTCCTCACTCAGTGTCTCATGCTTCATGAGTTTGCCCAGGTCAGTGCCCATGAATGGCATCACCAGGTAGCTGCAGAAGGGACGCCCCAGTACAGTCAGCAGGCAGGGCCAGCCTCAGGATCTGGGCAGGGCCCAGGCTCAAGCCCCAGCAGGGACTCCTCAAGGGGTACCCTGTAGCACCCAGTCCTCATTGGATCCCAGTCCAGTCAATGCCCCAAGCCCCACTCATCACTGGTCAGTGACCCCTACCAGTCAGCGAGCAATGGCCTCATCTTCTCCAGCACATTCCCACCCTCCCTCCCTCCCACCTACCCTGCCTGGAATGTCTGGTGGGGAAGGAATTGCTCCTTGGGGTTTTTGGTTTTGTCGTTATTAAACCTGTGGCCTCACCCCTGCTAGACAAGGGCTCTGCCACTGAGCAGAAGTCCTGCTTGTTTTGTTTGTTCATTTCGTTGGTACCAGAGATTGAATGCAGGGGTATTTAACCGCTGAGCCACATCCCCAGCCTGTTTAGTTTTTTTATTTTGAGACAAGAACTCATTAAGTTGCTTAGGGGTCTTGTTAAATTGCTGAGGCTGGCTTTGAACTTGTGATCCTCCTGCCTCAGGCTCCTGAGTTGCTGGGATCATAGCATGCACCACCATGACTTGGCTGTTTTGTTTTTTTTTTGAGACCGGGTTTTGCTATAATGCTAAGGCTGGCCTCGAACTTATGATCCTTCTGCGACAGCCTCCGGATAAACTGAGATCACAGGCTCATGCCACTGTACCCAGCTGTGATAGGGATTTTGGACTTCCATCTGAAGAGTGCTGCATGCCAGGCAAGGGCTAGGGTTGGGCCTTGAAGGCCACTAGACCCAAGGCCTCACAGGCAGGGGAGGAGGGAGTCTGGGGCCGAGGTGGGGGACCTCAGACATCTGGGCCAGAGAGATGAGCAGGCAGGTAGAGGAAACATGACATCAGCCCCCTCCAGAGAACACTGGGCCAGTGTGGGCCTTGACCTCTGACAAGCCACAAGTAGCCTGCTGCCTTCTCCAGCCCTTCCCAGACCTACTGTGACCTCGGCCAACAGCAATGCAAGTGTGGGCTGGCCAGCTGCAGGGCAAGCTCAGCAGGGCAGAGACAGGGTGGGTACTTTCACCGCCTCTGACCCATCTGCCAACAAAGGTCAGCAGCTCTGGTTTCGAGGCACACACCAGGTGCCAGAGTCTGAAGCACGGGACCTGCCTGTTCACAAACACTGGGTCCAGGGTTCACACCTCCAACATGAAGGGCCCAGGCGCCAGGCTGGAGGGAAGAGGAAGCCCCAGCTCTTCCCAGGCATGCCAGTGTCCGTGGGTCCCAGGAACACGGGAAGGTGTGCAGTAGGCTGTGATGTGAGTGGGGGATGGGCTATGTGCCCCTGGACCCCCATTCATGCTATGGGGAGAAGGCCCCCAAGACCACCCAAAACATGAAGCCAGCACCCAGGAGCCACCTGTCCCCCTCCCACCCCTGGCCAGCCCAGGTCAGTACTCACAAGTCTGTGAAGTCATCCAGGGTCTCATCAGGAGTGAACACATCCAGCAGCCCAATCACCTGCAGGGCAGAGGGCCAGGTGGTGTCAAGGACATACAGAGGATGCAGGGTTTTAGGACACACCGCAGGTAGCATTGCACTAAGGCAGGAAGCCCCCCCTGCAGCTGTCCTTGTCTCCTTGTACTGTGCCCACTGGCAGTGTGGCCAAGCACTGGTGTACTTGCCCACAGACACAGGCTATTTTTGGGTGGTGACAGCCGGGATTCTCTGGGAGAGAGGCAGTCCTAAGTCTGGGCTGGATCCAAGCAGTCCTAGGGCACCAGCTCTAGGCCCTCCCTCCCTGTCCCTTTCCCCAGCCAAGTCGACCCAGGACCAGGGTGGGGACATCAGGTAGCTCCTTCCTGGGTTCATGCCTCTGCTGTCGAGACTAAGTGGCAGACCTGGCTCCTGCGGATAAACAGCAGACAGGCAACGTGACAATGGCAGTTCTAGCACTTGGGGGTAATGGGGTCTTTAGAGGCCCAGGAAGCCCTCCTGAAGGGGGACTGCATATGCCAGCAACCTGAGGGGCAGGTGGATGTGCCAGTAGAGGCCAGGCACATGGTGGCCAAGACAGGAGGGAGAACACCTCTAGGGTTTGAGTAACAGAGGGGGAGGCCAGGTGGCTGATGCCCAGGCCAGGGGAGAGTGGAGGAGAGGCCGGAGGAAGCCCAGCAGGACCTCACACACACACCAGAGGAAGGATGAATTTGATCTGAAGAGCCACTTTAGAAGGGTTGAAGCCCAGGTGTGATGCTGAACATGACCTTCCGCTGCAGTGTAGGAACAGAGTGGAACACAGAAACAGCGGAACCAAAATGGAGAGGCAACTGGGTGACCACAGCACTTAAAGCCAGACCCGTGGGCAGAAACATGGATGGGTGAAGCCACGGGCCTGGTGGGCAGATGGAGCAGCAGACATGACCTGAGAATGGGGGCCAGGAGCACTGGAAGAGCTCTAGAAAGAAGAGGAACAGTGTCCATCTGCCCTCTGTGCTGGGAGCCATTAGCCAAGTAGGTATGACAATTTCCTTGCCAGCGTACCCCATGTTGCAGTGACATTGAATGTACGTGACCTTGCTCAAGGACCAAGGCAGATTAGGGTGTTCCCGGTTTTAAGATAGTCGTGTTTAGGGCGTTCCCGGTTTAGGTTCCAGGTTTAAGGTTTAAGATTATTCCTGCTGGGAATAGGGCGTATCCTGCTGCCTGAGTTCCCCTTGAGTTCTCACGGGATTTAGACAATATATTTTGGAGATAGAAGCCCAGTGGAAGTGGATTTGGGCAGAGAACGTGGATTTGGGAAGAGAACGTGGATTTCCCCAGAATGTGATTGTAGACGGCTGGTGTGAGTTCGGGAATAAAGAGTTGCTGTTTGAATCTACAAGCTGTGTGGTGGCTCGTGATTGTGTGCCCAGCCAGACTGCGGCATTTGTGCCCAGCCAGACTGCGGCACCTCTGTAGTGTGGACTATGGCCCAGAGCAAGGGGCCAGGGTTTGAGAAGAGAAAGCCTGAAATGGCTAAGGGGTCTGTGGCAGCTCCCTGTCCCCACTGAGTGGAGCACCCAGCCTCTCTGAGCCTCAGTCTCCTCATGGGAAGGTGGATCACAATCGGCAGAACCTCCCAGCTTGTGTTCAGGACATTCTGGATGCAGCAATGCCCAGCTGTGGGCACTCCGGAGCCTGGCAGAGTGACCCAGCACAGACTGGGTCAGAGGTGGGAGGTGACTGAGGAGGAGGCCCAGAGCCCTTGGTTAAACAGAGGACATGGATAGGCCCCTGGGTGGGGGTGGGTAGAAGTGGGAGGCTGGATGAAACCAAGGATGGAGGTGGCTGAACTCGTGGGATGAGGCCCAAGTGTGACTGGGAAGTGGAAGGGTACCCCAAGTGGACCGAACACAGAAAGGGAGCCAACCAAGCCCAAGGCTGTAAAGGACACAGGGAGCCAGGAAAAATAAAGAACCCGCCAGAGGGGTCAAGTGGCATGGGCCAGGAATCAAGGGGTCAGTTTCATGGTGGACACCGGGACCTCATGTTCCCAGGGGGCTGGTGGCTCTGGTGACCCAGAAGGGGCCAGAACATCTGTCAGGAGCCAAGGTGTGGGTGTCCAGACTGGGGTGGAAGGGACAGAACTCAGAGGCTATACTCACGATGACCATGTGAGAGGCCCAGGGGCAACCAGACTGGAAATAAGATGGCTTTTTCCACTGGGGACCCAGTTATACCCCCAACAAAACAGCTCCCTAAACCCCTCATCCAGAGTCTGCACTGCTCGCAGGTGACAGCCACAGTGCCTGACCCCAGCACTCTGCCTGCCTTGCACCCCCAAGGCCCCTGGAGTAGAAGGCTCCCAAGTGGACAGGAGAAGAGCTAGTGGCTGGAGAAGCCACCTGCCGCGGGGAAGAGGGGAAGTGCCTCCTCCAGGAGACCCCTCCTCCCACCACCCGGCCTGGAGGTCGGCTTTGTGGCCGAGTTGAGGAGGGACTGGGCTTGGGGGAAGGAGTGACCCACAGAAAGTGGCTGGGCTCTGTCCCCACTGCCCGGCTCCGACCGCCTGTCCTTGGGAAGAGGGTCTGGTCTTCCCGGGGGAGGCTGACGCTGGGGCGCGGCTGGCTGGGGGGGAGCCGGCCCCGCACGCGACTCACGTTCTCGTGGCGCATGTGCTTCAGGAGGCGCAGCTCGCGGTAGGCGCGCTTGGCGAAGAGCTCGGACTGGAAGGGCCGGTACAGCTTCTTGATGGCCACCTTGGTGCCCGTGCGACTGTCCACGGCCGAGCTGCGGGGCGGACGGCTTAGCGGGAGGGCCACCCCGCCCCGCCCCGCCGCCCCGCCGCCCGGCGCGCGCTCACCACACGGCGCCGTAGGCCCCCGAGCCCACGGGCTGCAGGTCCTGGTACACGGCGCGCACCTCCCAGGCCGTCTGGGTCACCTCCTGGCGGTAGAAGCCCTTGCGGGCGGAAGGCGGCGAAGTCATCGCGGGCCGGGCGCCGCCCCGCCGCGGCCCCACGGGACCCGGGCTCTGCGGACGCCCCCGCAGTCGCCCGGAGCTACCGCGCCACCCGGCCCGCTCCGCGCTGCCCGCCGCTGGGGCTGCTCCGCGCGCGCCCTTCTCTAGAGGCCGTCGCCCTGGGCTCTCCCGAGGCGCCGACCCCCGCCCGACCCCCGCCCGGCGGGCGCTCACGGCCCCTCCCCCGCCCACGGACCAACCGGCCCCCGGGGCCCCGCGCACGTGACGCCCCCGCCCGCTCGCCGGCCCCTCCGGAAACCCGAGGCGGCCGCCGGGGGAGGGCCTGAGGCTGGGGGAAGGGGGAGGGGAGGCCGCCCCAGGGCTTGGGCCGGACCTGACATCCTGGCCGGCCTCCGCCCCCCGCTGGACTTCCCAGCCCTGGTGTCTTAGCGGGAGTCTCTCTGGGCTCCAGTCCTTACTGTCCTCTTCCCAGGGCACTAAGCCCATCCTAGGCAGCCTGAGCCCACCTGGCTCCTAACCCCAACCCCGATCACTCTCCATCTGTCCAGACTCCACTCCTGCCCCACCCCTACCCAGCCCCCCAGCCCTGAGGGCCCTGGACCCTGGGTTCTCAGTGTCAGCTCCCTGCTGTGCCCTCAAGGATGCCTCATCCCAGAAGCTAACCCACCCATCCCCAGGAGTCTTGACCTGCAGACATCCCTCCGTCCACATGGAGGAGGATCGGTTCTGTGTCTGCCTTTCTCGGGTGGTATCCTCAACTACTGGCCACCAGCCCCCAGCTTCCCCATGCAGGAGCCAGAGGGGCTGGTCCTATAGATCCCCCTTTTTCACCCCCAACTTCTCCTCTCCCCCCACCTACCCTGTTGGTTATCTGCTCCAGGCATTTTCTAGGTTTGTGCCTTGTCTGTTCCATCCCCTGCCTAGCTTGTCCTTCAAAGGCAGGCTGAGCCTCAGTCACTTGTAAAGGTGTTCCCACATACGGGGTAAAGAAGGGACCTGCTTGGGCCTACAACCTACCCCTCCTTGTAGGTATCCTCTCTGGGTCTGGCCCAGTGCTGAACCAGATGCTTCTGGCGGACAAAGCCCCTACCCCTCCCACAGCTCAGTGACCCAGGTCTGAAGAGGGAATATGGGGTCCACCCCAGGAGCCCATTGGACTGGTGGGTAACAGGATCCCCAGGGCCCCCTCTCCGCCCTCATGCCCCGCCTGCCGTCATGAATCAGCAGCTCAGCAAGGCCAGGCCAGAGCAGCTTTACACCTGGGCTGGAGCCGGTGATCTGACAAATTCGTGAGCTGGTGACAAGAGCAAGCAGGGGCAGCTTAGGGCCACTCAGACCACAACTGCCTATATCCTGTGTCCTTCCTGCCCTGGGCTGCCTCAGTCGAAACCCCCACCCACTCCAGGCGGCTTCTTTAGGAAGGAATTGCCTTCCTAGCCCTGTGGGGACCCAAGGGTCCAGGGGCAAACTAGACTGTGGAGGTGGGGTCACGTACCCAGTTCTGCTCCCATTCTCCACCCTCAAACACTGGATTTGGAACAGCCTGGCCTCTGAGGTTCTCCCCAGGACATCCCTCACACTGACCAGGCCTCCAAGACCTAGACTGTCCCCACATGTGAGCTGCAGTAACAGCAGCTATGGTGTGAATCCCTGGGTTAGAGAGGCCTCTCTGTCCCTAACCAGGAAGGAAAGGAAAGCCATTTCCTCTACCCCATTCAATACCTGAGGAAGGGCAGGTCTTTGTTCCCAGAGACATCTAAATGACGCCTGTGTGGTCTCCTTGACCACTGAGTGAGGGAGGGTATGAGTGTGAGCCAGGAGCCAAACCCACCTAAGGGATTCCCCAACAAAGCCGCTGGAGTCAGTGTACGAGTGGCCATCACACCCTGTTCCCCTTGGAGCTCCCTAGCCTCACCTTCCCTGGCCTCTTGGATTTCAGACCCTCCAGGGAGCAGAGAGGGTGCCAGATGTCTGATGGTCTCACTGGAGGACCAAGGGGGCTGGCCAGTACAGAATTCTGGGGGGCAAGGCCAGTTGGAGATGTGTGAAGCATGGAGATCCAGCCATCCCCTCTAGACAAAGGGATAGTAGGGGACAGAAGGTTTGGGGCCTGAACACAAACTGAGCAAGAGGAAACCCCTTTATTGTGTACCCCTGGGGGTGCAGGCACTTGACATCCAGAACTTCCTGGGTCCCTGGAGGCAAGAGGTCACTGCCTCTCCAGGGAGGAGCCACACCCCCAGCAGATCTCCAAGCAGGATCCTGTCCCAGAGTTTACGTGGTCAGCTCCTTTCTGGGAGAAGGGAAGATGAGGACTGACCCACAGACCTGAGTACCCTGATCTCCTGCTGTAGGGCCACAACAGTGGGCAGAGGTAGAAGCAGGCAAAGGCTTGTCAGCTTTGGGCCAGGGTCCAGGGACAGGAGTGTCCAAATCAGCATCCGTGTACTGTCTGCTTTAGCCTGCTCAAGGCTAGACCTCCTGCTCATCAGCTTTCTAGCTGGCACTGTACCTGCAGGCCTCCGGAACTTGCTGAAGCCTCCCTGCCCAAGGAGAAAGCCCCAGCTTTTGCCCACAGGGGTGCCCCTGGGCCCCCAGAGCCCTAACATGGTACCTACCAAGGTCTCAACACCCCTTGGGAATCTGGAACTGGGGGAGGACAGTGAGCACTGTGACTCCTCCAACTCACACCTCTTGCCAGACACGGCTGCTAGGCCCCGGGTACCTACAGATTCACACACAAGCACACACTTGCACATGTCCCGACATGTGAACACAAGAGTGCGTACTCCTGCACACATGCCACAGGCGAACACAGGGCTGCAAGCAGCTGTGGACTGGACATCTGGTGGTGGTCTCCACCCTGCCACCCCTCAGCTAGACCCTGCCCATCCTGGTGGGGCACTGGCCCTGCCTCAGCTCAGCAATTCCTAGGGCAGTGCCCCACTTACAGGTTGGGCAGCTTAACTACTGAAACTCTCCCTCTGAGTCTCCAGAGGCCCTGCCCATTCACCCTCATCCCATTGCAGACCCTATGAGTCTGATCTGGAGAGAGAGTTACACTCCTCAGGGGCATCCCCAATGGCACCCAGATCCCACAGAGTGAGATCCTGAGGGAGAGCCTGATGGGTTGGAGAGGATGGGAGGACTAAGGTAGGCCCAGGGACACTTCTGCCCAGACTCTCGACACATGGCAGACACCTGTGCCTACACTCCTGCATTCATGTGTGTATAGATTCCCCTTAAGGCAAAGGGTCCCAGGAGCAGGGTCAGGTCTGAGGAAAAGGCCAGGCTCAGGACCATGTGTTGGAGCGTGGCTGCTGGGCAGCGCCTCATTGCTCAATCTCTAGGCTGCCACTCGGCTGCGGTGGCTCTGGGGGCTTGAAGCTGAGGACTTCCTGGTAAGTGAGCTCTGGAGGAGGTGAAAGAAAAGGGTGAATTTGTACGTCCCTCAGCCCAGCCCCCGCACCTGCTTGTCAACACCCACTGCCTGGTCTATGCCCACCACCCTCTAAAAGCAGCTTCAACTCAGGTTGAGAACCAGAACCCACCCTATGCTGCCCCCACCTCTGCTGGAGACACGCACGCACGTGCACACACACACACACACACACACTCATCTCCACTTGCTCCACTCTGGGTGGAGGACAGACCATGCTGGGGAGAAACTGGAGAATTTCCTGCAGGAAACAGGCAAAACCCTGCTCTGGAGAACACAGTCCTCAGGCCCCTGAGCCCCACTACCCCTCCCATGCCCCTGCCCACCCTTCCACTCCTCCACCGTGCGCTCCGTGGCCTCAACGCTTTCATCATAGGGCTCAGCCTCTGGCTCATCATCTGGGTCGTGGTACTGGCTGAAATACGCATGGGCCAGTGCCTCAGCTGCACTGACCCTCTGGTCACTGTCCAGCACCAGCATCCTTCCAAGAAGGTCTACAGCTGCAGAAGGGGCAGTGGGGATGGGGGTGAGCTCCATGTCCAGGATCAGATGTGGAGCCCAGCCTAGCCCCAGGGTCAGTCCTCACCCAGGGGGTTGGCTCCATGAAAGATGCTGCTGAGGTCCTTCTGGGGCATGGGGGGCAAGGACTGGATGTATGTCCGGGCCTGGGGGCACATGAGAAGAGCCTGAGAGGACTGTTCATCTCCAGCTTCTAGACCCAGGAGACCACAGACCTCTTCCCTCATGGGATCGGATGGCTCCAGCACCTGCAGGAGATAAGTCCCAAGAGTTCCCTGCACCCCACTCCCCTCTACTGCCCATGGCCAGAACAGTTTATGGTGTGCTGTGATTTTGTCCTCACTGAGCCTTGTGCCAGGAAATCCCTCCCCATTCTCCCATTCCCCCCTGAAGGGGCTGGGTGTCTAACGTGGGCTCTGTGCCACCCTGCCCATACTCTCCACACCACCCATTCCCCGAGGCTTGGTCAGCAGAGGAAGCTGGTGGCTGACTGGGCACTGACTCACATGCTCCGAGGATATCTTTGCCAGAACCTCAGGGCTGGGTGTGCCCACCACTTCCATGATGCGCTTCAGCTGGTCAATGTCTACCTGGCTCAGGAAACACCGTACGGCAAGCTATGGACCTTCACCAGCCCCTACGCCCCAGAATTTGGAGCCTGTTGTCCTGCAGCTGAGGGCAATGAGCCCAAGGTTGTATGGCATAGAGCAGAGGAAGTGAGACTGCCGGAGAGGGCTAAAGCCCACCCCCACCCTGCTCCACAGCCAGGACTAAGGATACAGTCATTCCCTGGGAAGAGGGCTTTTCCCTGGAGCAATTCGGCCATGATGCAACCCACAGACCAGATGTCCACTGTTGGGGGAGGAGGGAAGAGCCTGTCAGTATGCTCTGGAGGTAGGGAGGAGTCATCCCAGTAACCCTCAAGTCACATGTAGGCCCAAAGACTAGCAGGGTCCTTCCTTCTCTGTACCCTGCCCTGAAAAGGGGAGAGGATGGTCCCACGAGCCAGAGGATACCCTCCACCATGGTCCAGGCTCCTCTGAAAGCAGCCCCCAGATCTTGTCTGCCCCCCTTTGGCCTCATTCCCACCACTCTGCCACCCTCCCCAGCGTTGGTGTGCCTCTGCCGGTCCTTTCTGGTCAAGGGTTGACAGCACCTGTCTGATTGTAATGCATCCAATTGAGCATGATCTCGGGCGCCCGGTACCAGCGTGTGGCCACGTATCCTGTCATCTCCTCATCTGCCTGGCGTGCCAGCCCAAAGTCCAGGATCTGCAGCGACCACAGACATTCTCTAGGCCCCTCCATGTGAACCCCCATGGCCCACCCACCCCACGCCCCTCACCCTGAGCTCGCAGTCCTCGTTCACCGCCACGTTGCTGGGCTTCAGGTCCTGCGGGGTGGGCGGGGCGTCAGCGGAGGCCGGAACCCCGCAGACCCCGCAGACCGTACCCTCAACCGCACCGCACCTACCCGGTGGATGATCCCGGCCGAGTGTATGTACTACGGGAGAGGAGAGGCCGTGGTGAGCCCAGGCCCGCTCTGTGTCTCGCACCCAGACCTCAGTCAGGGCAAGAAGAGCCCAGCGCCTCACCTTCAGCCCACGCAGCAGCTGGTAAACCAGGAACTGGACATGCTCATCGCTCAGCGCCTGGCACTTAACGATATTGTTCAGGTCGGCGCCCATGAGGGTGGTCACCAAGTACCTGCAGTGAGATCAGGGGTCAGGACGGAGCCTGCCCCCATTCCTGGACGCGCTAGCTCTCCCAGCCACCCCGGCGCCAGTCCAGCTGCTCACACTTCGCTGAAGTCCTCGATGGATGTGGCTGGTGTGAAGACGTCCAGAAGCCCAATGACCTAGGTGGGGAGCGGAGGCAGGCTCACGGTTCAGAGGCCGGGCAGCGCCCGCCGGGAGTGAGGACCCTGCCGGGGACTGCCTCCCATAGGCTCCGCCCCCTCCCTGCCGGTCCGGCCCAGCCCTGGCGGAGCCCCAGAGAACCACCGGGCCACCCCGGGCGCCCTCCCTCCCACCGCCCGGGGACCGCCGGCTCACGTTCTCGTGCTTCACGTGTTTGAGCAGCCGCAGCTCGCGGTAGGTCCTTCGCGCGTGGATCAGCGACTGGAAGGGGCGCGACAGCTTTTTCACTGCCACCTTCTGGCGCAGCCGTGAGTCGTAGGCTGAACTGCAAGGCGGGCAAGTGAGAGGGTGCCGCCCAGGCCGCGGGACCTTTCCGCGCTGGGCCCTGGGCAGAGGGCCGCAGGCGGTGCTCCGCAGGTCGGTCCGGCCTTAGAGCCCCGGCTCACCCTTGATTCTCACCCACACCCCTCATGCATGCTCCAGGAAGGAGTCTTCAGGTCACCACCAAACAGCGTTCTCCTGTGGGGCCTGGGTCTTCTCTTGTCCGGCGACTCTCGCCCCTAACCCAGACCCCGCTCACAGCGAGGCCTGGGCATGGAAAAATCCGCCAGGAAAGCAGCCACTGCCGCTCCCGCGGTACCCCACGGCCCCTGGCCCCTCACCCTTGAATCCCGTGAGCAGGGAGGTTCACTACAGAATTTAGAGCCAACTCTAAGCCCCTGGAATCCCCATACCTCTGCTTATTTAAAATACAAGGGGAGGTGACAGTCTAGTTGCTCATTTAAAAATTAGGTGCATGCTAATTTTTAAATGAGCAACTAGACTGTAGGAAATGTCCAGCTGAAGGGGACTAGGGGCCCACAGAACATCCCCTTGTTCAGACCCACTCCCTAGAGTTCTGATCCTCCACCTCCGCACCGGGCTTCTCAGCCATCTACCCCTTCACTGGAGAGGATGCAGTCATCATCATCATCTACAATCACAAATAGACAGAGTCCCCGATCCTCTGCTGGTCCTTCATGATAAGGGCTCAGCTATGAACCATCTGCATGAGTCTGTCAGCAAGGCCTTTGCATAGCCTGTTCCCCTGGCTGATGCCTGTCCCTTATCTCCCTTATCTCTCTCGCACCTCGATTCCTCTCAGGACTATCCCCCTCCAGAAAGTGGAGATAGCCCCCCCCCGCCCCTCACCACACTGTAGGCAGGCTGGGTCTGCGATGCTCATTGCAGGGTAGTAGAAAGCCCCTATCAGGGGCAGGGGAAGGTCCAAGTCACTCCTGGTGTCTGGATGAGGGCAGTGGCCCCTCATGTGGGGCTTCAGATCCTTCTGTCTGATTGCATCTGTGCAATCAAGTGGGAGAGAACTGGTACCTGGTCATCAGCCTCAGCAGTGGAGCTCAGCAGACACAGGGCCAGAGAGGCAGCCTCACTTGGAGAATTCGACACCTCCCAGGGGCTCCCAGATGCGGATACTAAGGTGAGTCCAGTGAGGCAGAGTCCCTCTAGAACTACTTCCACATCTTCCCTACTCTTTCTGCCCTTGAGTCTTAGAGATGAAGATAGAGCCCTGCCCTGGGATCGACAGGACTTGCTGGAGGCTTCTAACGGCAGGCAAGCAAGAGCTGAAGATGTGGGCCTGCTGCAAGCTCCTGGGAACTGGCCGGAAGGGATGGAGACACCCACTTGTACCCTGCAGAGCCTGACAGCCCCTGCCTTCCTTCCCCAACACCATCTACCGTGGACAGCAGCTACTTGACACTGGCCTCACAAGGATCCCGAGCACTTCTCAATGTCCATTGCCTTGATCAACCTCACTGTGGGCCTTGCAGCAGCAATTAGGGTTTCTCTAAGCACCTTTCAGCAGGTGCCTACAGGAAAGGGGCACCTGGCCACAGCACCCATCAAGTCTATCCTCTGGGCCTCAGACTCTAGCTGCTGGAACTGTAGTCCGTTTCCTCGGTGGGGACCAGATTGGGTGGGGCATAGACACCACCTAAGGATTGCAGGAGGAATGGTAGGCGTCTCTGATCCAGCCTAAGCCGGGTAAGAAGCTGAAACACCCCAAAAGTGGGGGAGGGGCATGACACACAGGGCTGAAGCCATTCTCAGGGAGAGGTCTTGACCTCCTCGACTGGCCTCTCCCTTTTCAAATAATAGCGCCTGTCTGGGACGCGGGAAATCTGCTAGACTCTGGGGGCGGCTGGCCTTTGCCCAAGAGAGTCCCGGAGGGCTGCTGGGACATTGAGGGCCACGGAAGACCAGCCCTCCCCTCAGCTGTGACGCCACAGGATTCCGCCCCAGTGGGGGGACACTCGAGATCTGCAGGGCCGTAGGGCGACCCCCGCCCTGCCGAGAGGCGCGTCTGGGAGGAAAGTTTCCTCCGCGCCCTCCCCCCATTCACTCCTCGGGGCGCGCCGGCCGGGGGCGGAGGCAGGGCGAGGCCCCTCCCCACGCCGGGCACCGGCGCGGCGCGGGGAGGGGGCGCGCGCTCGGTCCCGCCCCGGCCCCACCTGCCCCGCCCCGCCCCTACCAGACGGAGCCGTAGGCGCCGGAGCCCACCGGGCGCAGACCCTGCAGCCGCTGCGGCACCTCCCACACGGTCTTGTTCAGCTCCTGCCGGTAGAAACCGGCGCGCGGGCCCGACATGTCCGGAGCCGAGGCTGGCGCGGGCGCAACCCAGCGCCCAGCCCGCGCCCAGCCCGCGCCCAGCCCGCGCCGCGCCGAGCGGGGGGGCGGCGGCGGGGCGGGGCCAGGGCCGGGGCGGAGCCCGGCGGATTTCCCGGGCCGGGGGTTCCCGGAGGCCGCGCGCTGCTTCCTGCCCCGCGGGGACCGTCACAAAGCGGAAGCCTGCCCTCCCCGGGGCGGCGAGGAGGCCGCCTGTCGCCCCCGCGTCCACCGCCCAGGCCGCGTACTGCCCTGGTTCTCACCGCAGCCTGGCCGCCGCCCCTCCCGCAGCCCGCGCAGCCTCCATCTCAGCCTCTTCCTCAGAAATGGGGAGCCTCAAGGCGAGGCCTGGGCGGGTCCTGGGAAATGTTTTCACCCAGAAGAAAACGCGGCCAGTAAAAACAGAACAGCCACAGCAAGGCGCGTCGGAAACTCCCGCACAAGCCTTCCTTGGCCAGGCCCCTCTGCTGGGTCCTGGGCAGTGGAGGACGCCTGGCGACGGTGGTTGGCCTCCTGGAACACCTGCCTTAGTCTGACCTCGGCCTCCTCCGGGAAGCCTCTCCGCCGAGCTGGCCCCTGACCTTGGCCCCACCGCCTCCTGGGAGGGGTGAGTCCACGGGCCAGGCCAGTCAGCACCAGGGACAGCGGCGGCACCAGGGGTCCTCTGGGGTGTTGTGGCCACCCGGAACGGTCCTCAAGTGGGTCTTGTTTGGTGCCGGGAACCTTGCCCGCTCCTGAAACGGCCCCGGCTCTCCCGGGAAGCCCGCACAGACTAGGGGCCCGCCCCTCGGGCAGAGTGACCAAGCGAGCGCACAGCAGAGGCAGGCAGGGCTCTACGCACGGCCAGAGGGTGGCTTTTATGACCAGTGGGGATGCTCCCCACGTTCCAGCAAGGCCTCGTGGGAGTGTTAGCTCAGGACTGCTTTTATTACGACTTGAGGATGACCGGGAATGGGAGGAGCATTGCCCCTTGAAGAAAGGGCTCCTGACCCTAGGCCGTGGGGGAGCAGCCGGCGTCCAGGAGGAGGGGAGCTGTGTGGCTGGGCCGCCCCTCCCAAGAAACCAGGAAATCATACTCTGAGTTGCCCGGATTTATAGTTTAAAAACAAATTTCAATAGGGCTGGGGCTGTAGCTCAGTGGCAGAGTGCTTCTCTAGCATGCTTGAGGCACTGGCTTTGATCCTCAGCACCACATAAAAATAAACAAATAAAATAAAGGCATTCTTTTCATCTACAACTACAAAAAAATTGGAAAAATAATGAAAATAAAAATAAAATGTTTTAATGTGAAATCCGATTTTTAAATAAAAATTAGGACTGGAGTGTAGCACAGTAGTAAAACATTTGCCCGGCATGCATAAGGCCCTGAATTCGATACCCATTGCCGCAAAAAAAAAAAAAAAAAAAAAAAAAAAAAATTTACCAAATAAACAATTGGCGCTGGTCGCGGTGGCTCACCCCTGCAATCCCAGCAGTTTGGGAGGCTGACAGGAAGATCCCAAGTTCGACGCCAGCCTCAGCAATTTAGCAAGGCCCTATGCAACTTAGTGAGACCCTGTCTCAAAAATAAAAAGCGGTGGGGATGTAGCTCAGTGTGTAAGTGCCTCTGGATTCAAATCCCTGTACCAAAAATAAATAAATGGAACCAGTGAAAACAAGTGCACGCAGTAACAAGCCAAACACGCATATCGGCCCCAGATCCGCACTGTGGGGCGCCCCAAGTAGAAGGAAGCCTCAGCGTGCCCTGGGCCAAACCGAGCCCCCCGGCACCTGAAGAAGAGCCGGTGTCAGTTCTGGAGCCTCCTGGCCCGCCCTGCCCCAGCTGGGGTCCTAGCAGCGCCTCTCTGGGGCGGAGTAAAAGAGCTTCAGCTGAAGACCGTGGAGGCGGAGGCGGAGCCGAGCCCGGGCAGTGGGGACCACAGCCGCGGGGGAGGGAGCCGCCTTTGTCTGAGCCTCGCGGCGGAGGGGTGGGGATGCGTTCCCAGGACGGCGAGGACTACACGCGGCCAGAGGGATGGGGAGATGACTGCACACCAAGGAAGCCCCCTCCGTCCTCCCGGAACCCCTCCCTAAGTCCTATAGGCAGAACTGAGCATGGAGCCACCTCCCTGCGGGGCCAGGTGCCCCCACCTTCTCCACGGTGTGCTGCGGCGGGGGTGGGGGGATTCTCATGCCTTGGCAAACTTGCTGGGATCCCCCACTGTGCCTGCCAGCTAGTTTGCCCCTCAGCTCTCCCCAATGCCTTCTGGGGCTGGCATGAGATCTACTACTGGGGGAAAGGACCCCTGGAGTTTCAGGTGGTGGGTGCTGGAGGCCCCCCTAAGGAGAGAGACCCTCAGATCCTGGCAGAGGTCAGAGAAGGCCCCTGGAGGGGTGACCACAGTAGCAGGCTGGGCCAAGCCTCCAGTCAGCCCTGAGGTGAGAACAGGACAGAGGTCACACTTGGTATATCCAGGAAGGAAGGCAGAGTCCAGAAGGTGGGGTCCAGAAGGGGGAACAGCTCTCTGCAAGGGCAGAGGGCAGGCAGAGGGGTCCACAGTACAAAAAGCCCACCCAGGGCCCTCATCCTGATTCAATGTCACCCCAAACATCAACCCCCCTCTGTGGGAGACCAACCTCACACGTGACTGAGTCACACTCCCGGGCTGGGTGCTGAGACGCTCAGTCACAGAAATGTGGCAGAGCTTTCCCCTCACATGGGCGAGGGTCGGTGTCTTGTGCCTGGGTGTGTCCTGCTACAGCCCCACGGGTGAAGCTATGCTCACCTGTTCCCTTGTAATCTAACCCCTTGCCCTGTTTAGGAGAGAATCCTGCATGGAAGTGCCTTGTGTGTGTCCCCTTCTCTTACTGTGCCCTTGGGTGTGGCCTACCCAGGTGTCAGTCAACCTGCTGACAGTGGACATCATGAAGATAGACTCAGCCCCCTGAAACCTGACCTTGCCTCATTTAAATAACTTCTCCTCAATAAAAGGGGTCAGCCGCATGCTCTCGCTCTCTCTTTCTGCAGACCCTTAAGGTCAGAGGAGCTGTCACAGCGACCCCAAAGAAAAAGGTATTTGTGTCTCTGGTGGGGTTATTTTGCGCAGCCCAGTCGGCCCAGTTTAACTGGAGTGACCCCTGAGCCTTTTAGTCGCCGAGAGCAGAAGCCCGGCACCCCTCCTTTTTCTCCACGTCTACTTCCCCTGCTGGTCCAGGACCCCTTCACTGTCAGCTGTGACAGCTTGATGGTCAGTTTGCCCCTCAGCTCTCCTGGGTGGGCTTCTGCCTGTGGTCAGGATGAATTTCCTAAAGACAAACCTGGCATGAGAGGCTGATTTCAGGGACAACTCAGTTAAGGTCATTAAGGTTACCCCTGACCTCTTCCCCATACCCACCTCTTCCCCTTCCCACTACACTGGGAGGAAAATGGGAAAGGGATGCCACGACAGGTCACCCCTGGATCTGTTGGCATTCTGCCCACTCAAGTCTGGCCTACCCACCCCCACGTGCCCCCAAACCCATGCCTCTCTGGCCCCACCTAAGGACAGGCCCTTAATCTCTTCCTACAGCCTACCTATCCTCCAAGGGGTGGGGGTGAGGGTGGAATCCCACCTGGAGCAGCAGTGTGTAGGGAGTCTCACCATCCAGTAGCAAGGAGCAAAGGCAGCTGGGCAGGGCCCAGACTGGAGACTAGGCCTCCAGGTTCCTGGGCCTCTCCCTGGACACCCCCAGACCACACCTTGTTCACCCCTGTTCTTAGCAGCATCTTGTTCTGATTTCCCTAATCAGCCAGGTCTCTGGGAAGCAGGGAGCCCTATTCTGGACCCTAGAAGTGTCATTTCAGGGGGCCCAGTGTCGGGAGGTCAGTTCTTGGCCTTGAACCTTTCCTTGGGGGTTGACAGCCGCCCTTGCTCCAGGTGGCTCAAATGGAGTCACCCAGATGCAGAGGGGTTTATGATCAATGGTGGCTCTCCATTAAGACTGCCCAGGGACAAACCAGCCCCTGCTGAGGGGCAGTTCAGAAAGACGGAACTCAAAAGATCCAGCCAGAAGGAAGCTGGGCCACTTTGCTCCCTGTGGGGGTGTTCTGGGAGCAGGAGGAAGCTCCCCCAGGGCAGACCTGCCCTGCTTGCTGCTGGGTCCCAGGGTCTAGGACTGTGCCAGGCACAGAGTGGACCTCAGTCATAATGGGTGGAAGGAACAAGCCCAGGCCTCACAGGTGCCGTGTGCACACAAGCTAACCAGCCCCCATCACACCTGCACTTGAGCACAGGTGAGAACAAGGCTCACATCCCACTGGCCACCCTCTGTGCAGTTCATTGCAGCCCAGGCCAAGATGAAGAGGCCGAGGCAGACAGCAAGGCGACAGACAGTGCTGGAGCTGCTCCAATCCCTGTGTCCAGCAGGGCAGCCCTCGGGCCCGAGGCGGCCCATGTGCACAGGGAGAATCCGTGAGCAGTGCAGGCCCAGGGAGGAGAGCAGTGAGGAGGAGAAGGGCAGTCCCAGGAGGAGCCCAGCAGCCCAGCAGAGTGAGAAAGACGACTGTATTGGATTTACAATTAACAAGATTTACAAAAAGGGGGGGTGGTGGTGGTCCTGGTGGAGCTGTTCCCTGACCCCCCCAGATCTGGGTGGGCCTGCAGGGAGCCTGTCTGACAGGCCAAGACCGGGACCCCCAGTCTGCTGAGTCCCCTCTGGCCACCCGAGCCCTGACGTCTGACGTCCAGTTGACCTTCGAGGTGGGGCCCAGGGGCCCTTGAGTCCACCTCGAGTGCCCGTGCCCCGTTGGGAAGGCCAGGTGAGGTCAGG